CGCTCAACTGGCCGTCCGAGCTTGGCCAGCATCACAGCCAGCGTGTCCGCCGTCTTTCTCAGATCCGTCAACTTGTTGAATACTTGACAGCTGATATCATGTGATCGCCGAATCATGGCAATCAGCTGCTCCTTGGTCGGCGCCTCCCTTTGCCTGCCTGCCGTGCCGAAACCAGAGCCGTCCTCGGAATAGTTGTCGTTCTGGATAATGAGATAGAGAATCATGGCGGCAAGCATAAAGTCGTGGACGGCGAGCGAGCTCATGAACCAACCCGAGCGGCCGAGGACGTTGCCGGGCTGACACCCCATCCAAGAAGCGTATTGAAAGTCCAGCAGCGTCGTAGCGGCATCCAGGCACTGGTTTCGCGAGTAGTCATGCTCGGGCTTTGGGTCTGCCTCTGCCAGGTAGCGTCGATGGAGAACGCAGCGGCTCTTGTGATATAGAGACGCAATTCCGTATCGTTGAATGATCTGGTGGGGCTCCTCGCCGACGCACTCTTCCAACGGCTTCACGTACATAAACGACGGGATGCTGCTCCAGGTCTCGGTCAACAAGTTATCCAGCTTCAGCACATCGCTGTAGCTCGGCGGCGTTAGCGAGTGAGCCTGCTGGGCAATCTTGCTGAACACACGAAGGAGCCTGGATTTGTGGATGGCGTAAGTCATAAACGTGTAGACGTTCTCCGGCCGTGGCTGCGGCAGCTCCTTGCACTTTTCGTCAAAGTCGTCGTCTTCCAGGTTACGGGGCAGCTCTGTATCCGTCTCAATCCCAGCGAGCATGCTCGGCAGACCCATGTGAAAGGAGACGAGGAGGTCGATCTGGGCAGCCATGTTCCACTGCCTGCGCCTCATCTCGCCTTCAAAGGGGGAAATGTTGGCCAGGTGAGAAGGGTCCCGATGGAACCCCATCTTGAGCATCAACCGCACGCAGACGCCCGACAGGATGTAGCAGTTCATCTGCGCCGCTCGGTTGAGGATGAAGTCGGCTTCCACATAGAGAATAAACGCCGGCACCGTTACAGACGTCGGCTGAGAGTATTTGCCCCATATCAACGCCCATCCCGCACATGAGCGGTACTGCTTGATTCTGTCCTTGACTGATATCGGTGAATCACTCTCCACCTCGTCGGGGGCGGAAAAGTTGTTGAAAAACACGCCCAGGCAGAGCACCATGAAGAGTAGGGCTACCCAATGCAGTGAGGCTTCACCAGGGTTTTGCCAGAATTTCACATACTTGATGCCGTCATTTGTTAGTTACGGGGGAGCTTATGACAAGTTGGGCATCAAACCTACCGCTCTTGTGAATGTCGGACGGTGAACAACGTCTGTATCTCATCAAGTCAGCCTCCTCCCGCCTTTCTGTCACAGAAACTCTCATAAACTTGACAACTCAAGAGGAACCTGAAGGAATGATACTCACGTTGAGATGGGCTTTTCGATGAAAAGTACCGCGTAACCAGCCTGTCCGCTACATGCCTCTCGGGTAGTTGAGCAAGAAGCTCTTCCCGGCTGGTTGGCGCCCCTCGAGAGTAAAGAAGCATCTCCGGCCCCTCCAGCTCTTCACCCGGCAGTAAGTCGTCGTCCGAGTCCCCAGGATCGTCAAAGTAGGCTTTGATATCCTCAATCTGAAGCCACCGTTAGCCTTCGGGATTTCCGCGTATCCCAAACCCCATCGTCATCGCCGCCTTCTTCATCACTTACATCTTCAAGCATCGCCAGACAGTGAGTGGCGCCCACATACGTCGTCGCATTGTCTCCGTGAACAACTTTTCCCTTCAGCTGCGGCGCCGCGCCCTCCGCCGCCTGAGTCCCCGACCTGAGATTCCCCTCGTCGTCCATCATGCCTCGCACCATTCCCTCGAGCCTCTTCAGCCGCGCCGCCATGCCCTTGGCCGCCGGCCTCTTCTTCTCCGGCTTTGGCGCATAGACGCACAAGTCCAGGCGGCCCTTCTTCGCGCACTGCCCGCATGGCTGTTCCCGGTCACACTTGAGCTTCGAGTTCCGGCATGGCGCGCACGAGAGGAGGATCCGCGTGCGCTTCTTTACAAGGGATGCTGAGCTCCCCGAGTTCATTCCCAAATCCATTTCGTTATTACGCTCGAGGGTGTTTTGCCCAGTGCGCTGGTTCTCAGCCTTGTCGTTGGCCTTTTGTAAGCCCTTTGTGATACCAAGCGGTGGCGATGATGCTATCCGCGTTCACAAGCCGAAAAGTTCTTGTCTGGAAATTCCGCGCGCCACACGAGTTGCCTATGTATGCTTAACACAACTAGCAGCACACTAGAGTTGCAACGGCTGACAGTTATGAAGTTTATTTTACAGCGTCGTAGTCGCTTTGGAGTCTAGATTATTCAACTACGCATTGGTAACAAGCAAGGCTGATGGCTCAGTGGCATTACCTAATCGGAAATGGTTCGGATTTGCGCTAAACTCCAGTCGCGAGTTGCGCAACCGCAAAGCGTAAAAACCGAGATTGGAACGAAGATTGTGAAAGAAAAACAAGTAAATAAATCAAAGGCTTTGACCCATAATCCCGTCACGTAGGCAGCGCGCCCGGAAGCCTCTCTATTACATATTTGCCCCTCGCCACACTCATGATCGGAACACCAGGGATTTTTCGCAGCCTCTGCTTCAGGGCCTTGTCGTTGGTCCCCACGATGTATATCCGATCCTTCGTCACCCGGTCCACGATGCAGTCGTCTGCATACGTACCCTTGTGATCGCACTGTATCCGCTGCCACCTCTCGTCTCTGGCAATTTTCAACGCCAGTCTGTATTTTGTGCCGAGCTTCTCGAGTTCGGCCATGACGCACGAGGTGATGATGGGGTTGCACTTTGCGTAGAGGCAGTCCATCATGGATTCCAGCAGCGACAGCTTCCTCTGAACGGTATGACTTAGGAAATTTGTATCGACGAGGACGCTATAGGGTGGCTTGAGGTTGTCGTTGTGGGCGAAATACATGCCGCTCGGCATCTGGGCAACTTCCTTGACGAGTTCTCCTCCGACCGTCCTCCTAGCCTCCTTCTCCTTCTGCTTGAGCTCTTCTTTCAGTCGGTTTTCCTTGAGTCGGACATCCTTCAGGCCGATGACTCGTTTGACCTAGATTCAATGGTCAGTATCTCCCAGAAACTCGATACATTTTGCCGATGAAGGAGGACAAACCTGTCCAAACTTTCTCGTCTTCTTCGCGACACCCATGACTGCGTTGTTGCGGTCGTCCGACTATCGATGATGAATGGCCTCTTTGATCCTCAATTGTTCGGACATATGTATAGTTCGGCCCTGATTAGGCGTGATATTACAGGTAAAAGAGAGCTTGGTTGTGAACGGTTCGACCCTTCGTAAATGCTGTCGTGAGACGATATGACGATCAAAGTCCAAAAAAAAAAGTTGGGTAGATAAGATTGCGATTGCTGCTGCACCATAGTGGCGGTGGTGCACGGGCCACTTCTGGTTTCCCATGTACCTTTGTACTGCTGTAGGCGGTTTTAGCGTCCACTAAAGCAGTGCCAGAGCTGCCAACTTAGCGATCTCGACGCGTCCGCTGGATCGCGTAAAGTGCTTGAGTTCACCATCCCAAAATCCTCGAGTAAAAATGCCCGCCGCAAAGCCAGAAGAAAAGGGCGAGTCCTCGAATGCCACGTCAAAGGCAGTTCTTGCAGCTTCGTCCAATGGATCACCTAACTATGAGTTACCATGGTATGTCGGTAATCCAGCCCCTCCAGGCGGGCAGCTGTGTCTTCCACTTTGAAGTTATTAACGGCATCGTTTGAAGGGTGGAAAAGTATCGCCCGGTGTTCCTGGACGACGTTGTCGGCAACACAGAGACTATTGAGCGTCTAAAGATTATAGCCAAGGAGGGAAACATGCCCCATGTCATTATATCGGGTATGCCCGGCATTGGAAAGACGACCAGCGTTCTCTGTCTAGCCCGCCAGCTGCTAGGAGAATCATACAAGGAGGCTGTCCTGGAGCTCAATGCCAGTGATGAACGAGGTACTATGATGCTTTTGTATGCGCTGCCGTGCAATTGACCTCTGCTAACTCGTGGGCGTAGGTATTGACGTTGTTCGTAACCGAATCAAGGGCTTTGCGCAGAAGAAAGTTACCTTGCCCGCTGGCAGACATAAGCTGGTTATCCTCGACGAAGCCGACAGCATGACATCCGGTGCCCAGCAAGCCCTCCGTAGAACTATGGAGATTTACTCCAATACCACTAGATTTGCGTTCGCCTGCAACCAGTCCAACAAAATCATCGAGCCGCTGCAATCACGATGCGCAATCCTTCGGTATGCCAAGTTAACGGATGAACAAGTAGTGAAGCGGTTGCTGCAAATCATCGAGGCGGAAAAGGTCGAATACAGCGACGACGGTTTGGCCGCCTTGGTTTTCAGTGCAGAGGGAGATATGCGACAAGCCATTAACAACCTGCAGTCAACATGGGCTGGCTTCGGTTTTGTCTCTGGCGACAATGTCTTCAAGGTGGTCGATTCACCGCACCCAATCAAAGTACAGGCCATGCTGAAAGCTTGCTACGAGGGGAATGTCGACTCAGCTCTGGACACCCTCCGAGAGCTGTGGGATTTGGGATACTCGAGCCACGATATTATCAGTACCATGTTCAAGGTCACAAAGACGATGCCGACGCTCAGCGAACATTCAAAGCTAGAGTTTATCAAGGAGATTGGCTTCACACACATGAAGATCCTGGAAGGTGTTCAGACCCTACTTCAGCTGTCTGGGTGTGTCGCTCGTCTGTGCAAGCTCAACATGGACCCCAAGAGGTTTAAAACATCGTCAAAATAGGATAGAAGACAATAGCATGACCAACGGAATACAGGTAGCGAATGTGCTTTTTTGCTTTTCTTTTCGGTTTCTTGGGCGTTGGAATTGGGGAGATGCTACTATACAATGTGAGGTACTTGGGGTATCATCATATGATGCTATATACATGATCAAGCTTTTGATCTCTGGGAAATCCGACACGCTGGGTTCGTCCATCTTTATTTACCATTGTTCTGTGCAATTTCTTGCTCGTACCTGTCCCACTTTGCCTTTTCTCTGAGCCACCTCCTCTGAGCTCTCACCTGAGCTTCATACTGCCTCAGACGTTGATCTGCCTCGATCATGCCGCCGAGGACCATGGCTGACATTTGAACATAACTATCGCCGTATGAGCTCATGTATTACCTAATAAGTCCAAGTTTCTGATTTGATATGCCTACACTTTGAACTGAATGGTGGTTTTGCGGTAGACCGGAGACCAGAAGAAGGCGGCGCTCCCCAGGATCGCCGCTCCAGCACCCCATTTGGCTGCTCCGATAAGACCTCCCTTGCCGGCCTCCCACCCGGCATCCTTTGCCTCGTCGCTCTTCAACGGATCGTGGGGAGCGACGACCATCTTTTGAGGCGAGAAATGCAGTGTGAGACGAAGGCAATTGAATGATGCGTTGAGCGTTTAAGGCCACAAGCCGGTGAGAGGGTGTACTGAGGAGAGGGGGCAGGGATAGGAATGCCGAATTTTTTAATAATTCCAGGGGCTACAGAGATGCAGATTCGCTTTGGGGTGATGCCAAGTTCACATCGAGAACAGCTGCGTGAGATCTAGCAAAGCCGAGCGCCCGAGAAATATTGTACGTCATTAAATTTTGACGTAACAAAAGGCTTCAGGGTAGCTGTTTTGTGAGCTTCCCCACATATCCCATCTTTGCTCGTACGAGAATTATAATCAGAAATTTCTCAATGGATCTGATAGATAATAGGGCCTTTTTTACATATTGCTCTCTCGTGTACTGTAATTGTTTTGGTGATAGAGTACCGGTTCGTGGGCTCTTCTTGTTCTGCATGAGTGGACTCAAGTTGCACAGTGAAAACTTGCCATTATATGGTTTAAGACCGCGTATTGAGGTTCTCACCCAACAACAGTCTGTATCGAATAACGTCTAGTTGAACAAGCTACTAAACCACCCGGCATTTGCCACGCGGGGTATATTTTCCCTTAATCATGATTGAATAGTTGGAAATATTGACATCTGTAGATACGTAAGGTAGGTAGATCTTGTAATTTAAGCTCGTGGCAGAATATACCCGTAGGCCCTCATACATCGGCCCTGCTACAAAGTACCTACAGACAATGAAAACGCGCCTTCAGAGTAAATTTCTCCAACACGCCGTGGTGCCTCCTGCTCGCGTGGGCAATTAACCAATTGAAATATTCCAGCACATCCACTTCACACCACGAACCGCCTCGATTTTTCACATATTTTTTGCAGCTGTGGGGTACAAAGCTGCAGGTACACAACCTAATAAGCGGTTATGCATTTATGCCGTCCAGGTCATGACAAAAGCGGAAGCAAAGAATCTTTTGGACACAATTTCTTTTTGTCCTACAGCAGCCGACAAAAGTTTGACTCGAGCAAACCCAGCAATGATTACGCTCCCGTTGTTGCCTGGTGCTGCCAAGTCTGTCCTTTGCTGTTCATAAGCATCTCTAGCGCTCTGGTGTTTTGCATCTTCATTCTTTTCACGTCCGTCTGCACTTGAGGTTTTACGCCTTTTGATGAGCAAAGTTGCCCACAATGGCAGAGCTTTCTACGGACGCATACTGGCGAGCGCCGCCCATTGCTAGGTAAGGACACCCTCCCATACAGCCGCATGCATGCGCAAGAAACTCGTGCTGACTCTGCTTCGATAGAACTGTTGCGACCGTTACCTTTGGTCTATCCTGCGCTGTACACACAGGAGTCCTTGCCGCGGATTTCTTCTCCTATGACATCCACTACTTGTTTCGGGTCCCTCCGCAAGTTTGGCGTATCGTAACATGCTTCTTGATTACCTTCCCAAACCTGGGAATCCTATTTGACACTTTCCACATGTACATGTACATGAGTCAGCTGGAGAGAGGTCATCCGCGATTGTCTCGACGAGAAGATTTCGTCTGGTACTTGACTTTCGTTGGCGGAACAATTCTGGTAGGTCTTTTAACTCAATATCTTTCATGTGCTTCCCCGTGTACCCTGATGAAAACTCCTCAAATATCTGCCCGGATAGTGCGATGCCTCTACTGCTATCACGGTTCCTGGAATTGAGGAAGATTACCCCTGCACTTCGAGTCGATCCACTCATTCGCATAAGGATTGGCTTGCGGTGTGGGCATGGTGGGATGTCGTAATGGATGGCTCGTGTGGTTCACTATTCACTCGAGTGGTTTTTATATGCTCCCTACATCTTTCCCTCTTGGTGTCACTTGTGCCTGTTCCTTCTCCATCACCTTCATTTTGTATCCTCCTGGCTCGTGATTGAGGCTGACACCCCGGCTTCAGATACTGAGTCACCTGACAGGCTTCGGGTTTGGAGTATTGACGCAAGCACTTCTCCTTGCCATGGCCTACACCGTAACCCAGGAGCAGCGAGGACAGCAAACGAACTACATGTTCATCAACATCCCGTCCCAGCTTGTGCCGTTCGCCATGATGGCGATCAACCTTTTCTTCCCCGGTGGTATTGGCATCGTATTGCTGCAGCTTCATGGACTTGCAGCGGCACACCTGTATCTGTTCCTCAGCAAAATCTGGCCCGAGGTCGCAGGTGGCCGGAACTGGATTCAGACTCCTGCGTTTATTAGTTCGTTGGTGAATGGGGTAGCACCAGCACCAGCACCGCAACGACCAGCAGCAGCTGGAGCCAGAGTACCTGATGCAGCATCCGGTCGAAGCAGTGGTGCGTCTCGTGGACCATTGCCAGACTCGTGGCGGACAAGAGGACCTGGGCAACGCCTAGGCTGAGCCATATAAAATCAAGACACGTCACCTTTTTATCTATTGATACCACTAAATAATGATGATGCCGGCTGTTACTTAGTTACAAAGGATGCAGTGTTGTAACTCGACGGCAAGAACGGCGAACGGCCTAGGAATATATAATTGAATACAGGTTTAAGAATATAATATTTTGTCAATTTCAACCAGAACGCCCCAATTTCCCCAGGGTATAAATGATCGACGGCCATTTCCATATGGCTGAATACCTCGTGCAAACCCAACGCCGCTTAATAGACAAAGCCACCTCCCCAAACCTTACAACATCTTGAACAAACATCCAAGAAGGTTACAACGCTTAGCCTCCGGTATACACGATACAATAAAAGACAAAGGAGAAGAGAGTGAGTTATCGAGTGTGTGCATGTTAACAAAAGAAAACAAGGGGTAGTTCTGCCTTCTCTTCTTCAGATCCCGTATAGGGCGCTCTTCCCGCTAGCCAGCGGAACTTCTGTGTAGGCAGCGTACTTTTCGCCAGATCTAGGAGTCGGTGGACGATTGCGATCGACGACGACGATGCCAGCGCCAAGTGGCCTGTCGATGAATCTCGGGTCGTTGAGGAGGGGAGGCGTGATGTGCAACTGGCGGTCCCCAGAGGTTCTGGCCATTGCCATGGGTTGAAGGATGAGGCTGGGAGGAGCGTTTCGTTTGGGTAGGTGGATTTTGGGTAGAGAGAGGGAGGACAGTCTGGAGCTCCAGCGAGATGAAGATTTCAAAGTTGGGGAGGAGGTTGCCTCTGATGGGGATGGTAGGGCGGGCTGTGCTGAAGTAGGGGGTGATTGCAGAGCGGATTGTCTCGCGGCGTCTTCCACGACTGACTTGTAGGCTTGGATGATGAAGGAGTCGGGCGTGCTTGGCCTGAGTTTGTGGGTTGGTCGAGGGGGTGATAGGGATCGTGTAGAGCCGGCTCTGCGATCTTTCTTTGATACGGTGCTGGGATCGTAGGCGTGATGAGCAGGCATGGCATTGTCGGGGCCGTGGATGATGGCTCTTGGATCGTGTGTGAGTTGGATGTGGCTGAAGCGGGCGGCCTCTTCCATGCGGTTGTAGTATTGGCCGTTGGTCTCGCTGATTCCATCGGAATCATTCATGTTTGCAGCGCCATGGAAGTCGGGGCCATGACGAGGCTGGTTGACGACGTAGCCCCAAGGCTCAACTAGGGTTTTGGGAGAGACATAGTCTTCCCTGTAGTAGTAGCGTTGCTCGATGTATGGGGAGGGTCTCTGGCGAGCAAAGTAGATGATGAAGAGGACGGTGGCGAGGGCGAAGATGGAGATGACGCCGACGAAGATGCCGATGGTGGCGGGTAGGGGGAGGGTTTGAGACGAAGAGGAGTCTCTTGGGGTGATTTCAAGAGCCTGGGTACATGTAGCCTGGGAGATGGCCAGAACCAACAAGGGGAGATGTATTGAGGAGATCATGTTGGGCTCTGTTATATATGATGGTAGCAGGGAATATCCAAGTATAACAAGATGTCATGTACTAGTGGTCTATTTCCAAGGCTGCCTGCTCACAATGGGGCTGAATCAAATCTGCTGCGGGTATCATTGATTCCCCGTCGAGATGATGATACAAACAAAAAGATTGATATCGTTGAACTCATCAACCCCATCAAGACAGGCGAACTGAGCAAAGACACCAGCTACATGTAGCGAGAAATCCATGCCCAAGATGCGGCCGAAGGGGAGGCCCGGCAATAGTTATACGGGCCGTGGAAGCCTGGATTGCACGCATCCTCGGACACACACACAAGACCAACATCTCGCCCGCATCCGTATTAGGGCATCATGTCAACGGCGCGTTGGTTCTTAGCATATAGATTGCATGCATATCCCGATGGATCCCTGCTGGGATGCAACGCTGATGGTGGTGACAAGCCACGCCCCCCATCCGATCAGGCTTCTTCGACGCCGAGGCAAAAATCACGTAAAAGGCAGAAAAACGGATATTCAGAAGGGGAATGTTGGTCCCCCGCCAAGCAGAAAGAGGGGGCTGTAAGCAAAATCAGGGCTGGCTGTATCTTTCTTCATCTAGCGATCCTGATGATGCTATTCGTCGACGATCCAACCTGAAAGAGCATGTTAGCCCGTGGCAACCTTTTGGATCCTTCGACTACCGGCAAACCTTGCGTCCAAACAGAGGACGTGGGCTTTTTGGCAGGACTTTGTTGGTGCGTGTGGGAACTTCGCAGAGAGACGGCACGAGATGACCCTAAGCCCTGCCCCGTATAGTCAAGATGGAGTACGTAGGGGAAAAGAGCTGGATGAGGCTCTCCGAGAGAGAACAAGCGGAACACGGCGTCTGTCCGAATGCAACGAGTAGACGCCACAGACGGTGATCCAATCAGCAGCGGCATAGACGCGCGGACAAGAGGCGCAAGAGCGCAAAGGCCGTGCCGCGGAGGAGCCCGACGAGGGCCGGGATTGGCGGGGCGGAAGACGAGGCCATTCAGACGCCCTCTGACGACCCGCGCAAGATGCAACCCTACCTTGTACATACGAGGACGGGTAAAGTGTAAACGACAATGAGCAGTTAATATCGTGCCTTGTAATATATCCATTGTATGCACTGGTATGAAGATCCCCCCTGTATGTACATGAGCCCACTCACTCGCTCGCTCACTCAAAACTCTGATATTGCTCCATTGCAAGCGTGTCGTCCATCTTCCTTTCCGTCTCCTCTCGTCCCCTGTCGATATGCCATTTGCCACCGACGCTCGACCAGGATCAGTGACAGACAGACGCGCAGCTGCGGATATTCGACGAACGAGTGTCCAAGCTGCGGAATTCCATGTGATTGGCTCCTCTCCAACGGCCTGTTGTTCCGCGTCCTCCACTCGATAGCGGCACGAATGAAAACCCTGTAGAATGCAGTGAGAGAGGTTGAAACGAACAGAAGCTAGCGAAGATGGAGGGTGGAAACAGAAGAGGAAGAATACAAATCAACTCTAGCCTTTTGCTATTGGCTCCCTCCGAGAAGAAACAAATGCCTTTCGTCGGCTAGAAAAGTGAGCGGTTTAACTTGAATAGCCGACCTGGGCCGGGGTTATTCTGACATGCATTTGCTTTCGTCGCTTGCGCTAGGAAGCTTCCGATAGCCGCGACGGGCGCCTGTGTGATGATGGCCTTGGGGGGGGGACTCTTGCATGAACCCATTGACCTGTTTCCGGTCGATAGAGTGTCGCAATGGCCTAGATTGCAGGCATTGTGTTGATGAATGCTACTTTGTGTTGATCACGGATACATGGAGCGGGCATGTGGGTGGGGGGAGATTCTTTGCGTGAATACCGGATGGCCAATCGATTTGCATTGATGTCACAGAGACAATCTCTTGCTTTTGCCCACCTGATCATCGTGTAGGGGGGACGAGAGCGTGGTCGTTCATTAATACTGTTAATTCCAGTCCTTTGGCGTTTGGTCGGGAGAGAGAGACTCGAATTCCGTTCAATACTCTCCAGACGTACCCTGCCTAATCTCTCGGGGAAAGAAGATAAAAGACATCGCTCACGTTTCAAGCAATTATCCATATCAAAACTGGAGGCAGAGCCTGGGACGGTTAGTCGTCAAAGCTTCCCCATCACTCGTACAATGATAACTGGACGTATTTCGTCATTGGCATACAGAACTAAGCCTTGTACTGTTCGCGGCCAAAAGGCCTTGCGAAGCTCAGCCGGGCGCAAAGACTGTAATCTCTAAGTATACTACTATTCATTACTCGTATATCCCCTGTAGTGTATCCAAAAAGCTCAGTTCCAGCATGCAGCAAGCCAGCTCAAGATTCAGCGCTGAAGAACAGTAGTCGCTAGACTAGCTTTGTAATCATTTCCCCTTGTCTGTACCAGAGTGAGCATGTCAAAGTCATAAGGCGACAGAGAGGGGGCTGGCGTACTCTATTAAATCATGGCGAGCCTTGTGAGCTCTTTTGTAGCTGCGCTTGTCGTGTATCATGTTTGATAGCGGGGAATGCCATCAGGTGTATCAATTACGCAACGCTGTAAAGGTAAATGCAACAGTCTATGTCTCGATTCGCTTCTTAATTCCCATTGGTCATTTCGGCGTGTCTACCGTTGGTCGTGGGTTCTTTCTGGTAGAGGTGATGCAATCTGATGTATTTGTAAACGGAATCCGGAATGTCTTCCACCCTCTCTCCGTTTTGTATCTGAGCACGGACGCGAGTTGACTAAGACGCCTGGTCAGTATCAATGGGTAGGTAGCGGAAAGGCACCATGCCGTCTTACCGAGACTTCGTTGATAATTGTTGGAACGACCCAGATCTTGGCGTTGTACTTCTCGAGAGGCTCTATGGCATCTTGGGTTCTGCATTGGGCAGGCCTGAGATGATGAAATGGAAGTTAGCTTTGTTCGGATGACCAGCAGGCGTGGGACAGTGCTACCTTTCGACCACGAAAGCCCCATAATAGCCCAGCAAGACCTCATTATCAGCGGGATCCCATAGCTTGGGATCTGCCATAGTGGCAGCTAGGTCGGCGCCGATGAGCAACATAATTCGTGCCGTCGTAAAAGTTCCGTCCAGGGTCTCAATGCCGCCGAGCACGTTGTTTATCTCGTGGTCGAAATGCCGGAGCACGTCAACCGTCGGGCTGTACAGAGGCTTGCCGGATTCATCAACGCGGACCGTCTCCCAAGGATCGATTGTGATTGTCGCCATGGTATCCGTGTCGACAGCTAGACTGCACACTATAGAAAGCAGTCAGTAGAGAGTTACACTCTCCCATTTCAGCACATTCCACTTACTTTGTATCCGGTGGTGGGCCGGCGCTAATGATGACTTTTGATATGCGTCCGAGCAGGGCGACATGTAGTTGCCAACGATTTCGAAGCCGGGATCGCTCTGTTTTACATATTTCTCTGCAAATTCAAACATTTGCAAGTCTATTGATCTGTTAGAGCGCCATTGGCATATCCACGTGCCCTCAACCACTTACGCAGAGTCGTCACCGGGGAGAAGCTCCCGCAGGCGACAAGAACGAGAGGGACCTTGTCAGGCCGCGTCAGGCGGCGCTTCAGGTTCTGGTACGGAAACGCATATCCGGAAGGCGATGCGATCGGCTGGGGAGCAGGCTGGGGCGTGCCGTTTTGGTGCGGGAGAGTCCCGAAGCTCGACGCCGAGGCCACCATGATATGGGGGTCTGCGATGTGCGACAGGCGGCGATACGAGGGCTGGAGGACGTCGCGAAAGAGAAGACGAGGAGCGCAAGTTGAGCTGGGATGGCGGTGATGCCGAAATTCGGTGGTCGCGTGCGCAGCGAAGGGAAGAGGAAACAGAGTATCTGGTGTAAGAGGTTGCGACGATGATGGCGATGGTTGACTTTAGGTGAGGTAGGTACATGTATTCAAGGCCAAGACGTAACGCCGAAAAGAGGGATTTACCCTCCACCACTAAGAATAGGCAGCCTACAGGTACTGAGACGCTAATCCGAGCAAAGCCCGAAACTGTCAGTTGTTCCCAGTCTGCTAGCCTCTGCTGGAACAGGCTGTTTTCTGTAGCTGGAGGTCAAATTGTTTTCCATTCGTTTTAGTAATCGTGCCGCGTCTTTGTTTCTCCTGTGGCTGTTTTTAGCACTGCGGTTCTTGGCTGGATCCAGCAACACTCCAAGCAAAGACACGGAGGCTTAGAGCTTGACAAATCCTCCAGCGTTTGGAACCTCCAGAAGGTTTGGGGGGATTCAAGTGCCCGTAGATGCAAAAAAAAAAAAAAAAGCGGCATGTTCGACGGGCCTGCCTAAGAGTGACGTCAATCTCGCCCAGCCCGCGTCTCACATGCATCCTCCAGCTCGCAATCTTGTTTGCGCAACCTTGTCAAATGCAATCGGTAGTAAACCGGGGCGACGACAATATTTCGGTAACGGAGTCGTGCATATGTATGTACACTGCATGTCTTCTTTTGCTCCTGCTATACACTCGTAGTAATTTAGAGGCGGCACTAATCTCCAAGCCTGGACTAGAATCTTGCGGGCGTTGTGAGGTGGCGGCCCTCCAAAGCTACTTTCACAACAACACATACCTACCTTGCCTGTTTTCTGGCAGTGTAAACCGCCGTCAAAAGATTACAGGTACCTAATAGCATATGCACCTCTTCTCTCCAAGAGTCAATCCAACTTATCCCAAAGTGGATTGACAGGTTGGTTGGTATGGGATATTAGACCCAACAGGCTGGATGATTACTGATTGCCTCGGTATTGCCTTATTTTCTAGTTCATGGTTAGCCGTCCAATCCTTTGGTTTCTCTTGTTCGACCAGCCAGCCAGAGGCTACCCATGGCCATGATCTGTGGGTTTGGTTGAGACTGTACGAAGCCATTAGGAGAATACAAGCGTTTGTCTGCCGGGATGCAGCACGTGCGGAGTCTTCCGCTCTTATGCATCACACTTAGTAGGTACCTTTGATTCCTCCGAAAACTCTGTACCTTTTTACCTCGAAGTCCACTTTTTGTACCAGTTGTCGATCACAAGTATACGAAAGGAATTGAGGATAAGCATGAGAGCACGCCGTACAAACACTATAGGTAGGTATCTTAGTACTAGCCTATATTGTATAGTAGATGTAGGCGGCCAACCGAGGGAATGGATAAGGCGATTTTTTATAGGAGAGTATTGAATACTTGCACATGGACAAGAGGCATCCAGATTCAACAGCCCCTGCTCATGCAGCAGAAGGCGGTAAACCAAGCGACGCCGTTGGTGGACTGAGCCGTTGGAATCACACTGCAGCCAATCAAATCCGTCTCGCAGCTGCAGGAAGTGCCCTTGCAGCACCTGAAACGGAGCCCAACGACAGGCGATTTTGTCCCTGAGAGACAAAGAAGAGCCATGATATACCTGTATGTGAGTTACCTTACTGTACTCTGTTGGAAGTTGGGCTGTATTCTACCAAGGTTGGCACTTGACATCCTCCGTATTTTAGAAGCAACACCAGGAGAAGCTCTGGCATCCAATGTCCAGGGACTACTCAGTACCTCGTAATACCGGGAAAGTAGGTACCACGTATGTAACGGAGTACTGCCTTAAAGACACTGCAGGCTAATTTGAAGATACCATGTGGCTGTGAGAAGTCAGCCGATTCCCCCCTTTCCCTAGCATTGAGCGATTCTCTTCCAGCAGTGCGCAGTTCAACTTGGTACTATGCGTGGTAGTCAGTCCCCTTGTCATAGTATGGAGTATTAGGAGGTACTATTCGGTACCTGTGCTGAGAACTCAAAACCGTTCCGTGTACCGGCTACCCCACCCTTCCCCCCTCAAACGCATACAGTGTACAGAAAACCCCATTCAGGAAGAGAGGCTTGGAGGAGCTCTTGTCCTACGCCCAAAACAGTCGCTTTGCTGTTGGGTCCAACATCTTTGCGTGACAGCTTTAATACAACCATCGTCTCCTTTGTCGTCGCGAGCCTGAAGGCGTATAACACCCGAAGCGACGCGGAAAGCCGGGCTTTGCCCGCGACGCCGAGCTCTGGACTGTGCAGTTAGTTGCTGAGGGGGGAAGACGAGCTGAGAGACGGACAGAGAGAGAGAGAGAGAGAGAGAGAGAGAGAGGGAGAGAGAGAGAGAGAGAGGAGAAAAAAAAGATGCGGATCGCGTGCCTTCAGTTTGCGCCGCAGGTTGCAGATGTGGAAAACAACCTCAACAAGGCGGACGAAGTCCTCAACCAGGCGGATTCCGACGACCTGGACCTGGATCTCTTGGTGCTTCCTGAACTGGCCTTCACCGGTGAGGCTGCATATCCTGTCTGGCATTTGCCCCACGACTTCCTTTCTAACTTGCTGCGTGCTTGAAATCAGGCTACAACTTCAAGTCATTAACCCACATATCTCCCCATCTTGAGGAATCCAGCACGGGCATCAGCTCGCTCTGGGCTCGGAATACAGCCCTCAAGCATGACTGCACCGTCGTCGTGGGATACCCCGAAAAGGTAGATCCGACGCTCAACTGGCCTACGGACCCCCAGTATTACAACTCGGCAATCGCTGTCAACGGCGATGGCGAAACAGTGGCCAACTACCGCAAATCCCATCTGTATTACACCGACGAGACTTGGGCTTTGGAGGGCTCCCACGGCTTCTTTGGAGGACGGCTTCCCGGCTTAGGTCAAGCCGCCATGGGGATATGCATGGACCTGAAGTGAGTAATGGAAGGGCGGTTTTACTCTCCATCTCCCCATAACCACCAAAGCTAACACGGCAACCCGCACGTTGAGTCCTTACAAATTTGAAGCGCCTTGGAACAAGTTCGAATTTGGCCAACATGTCTTGGACAGCGGTGCTCGACTTGTCATTGTTTCTATGGCTTGGCTTACCAATGAAAATCCTCACGACTTTACCAGCACTCCGTTAGAGCCCGATAGCATGACTTTATTATACTGGGTGTCTCGTCTTGAGCCGCTGATTCGAGCAGAATCGAACCAAGAAGTCATTGTCGTCTTTGCGAACCGCTGTGGCACCGAGGGTGAAGCAACTTATGCCGGCACCAGCGCCGTTGTTGGCATACAGTCTGGCGAAATTTGGGTTTACGGTATAATGGGTCGCGGTGAAACGGGCCTGCTTGTCGTTGATACCGAGTCTGAGCCTTATGCTAGATTGTCTTACCAGCCGCTTCAGCCCAATATTCGATCGGAAGACGATGCCTCACCAGACCTGAAAAAAAACTCTGGCAATAGCCCGTATCCACACAATGAGTCTCAGGATCAGTCTCGCGAAGACTTTGAGAAATCATCCAAGGCACCCATTGACTCGTCAACCGACCAACAAGAAGATGATTTGCATATGTGGCTTATGGAAAACTCGATAAATCCGGATGTGCGACATAACCACCAATCTTCGGAGTACAACAAGGGATATGCCAACCGCACACCAAACAAGCCCCAGGTTGAGAATACGCAGAGATCGTCGAGCCCAAAATTAAATATCAAGTCTTTACAACTTGATATTCCACCCGATCAATACATGCTCAGACGATACCTCGAGGCTGAGTCTCCGATATCTCATCTGGACACGATCAAATCCCCGATTCAGTCCACAACAGCACCTCCAGAGCAACTCAGGGGCTCACGAAAAGATCGAGTTGACTACGTAGCTTTCTACCCCGACATGATGGAAGAGGAGAAGCGGTTTAGTCTACGATCTGACGTGTCTGTCTGGAACAACGAACCTGGTCGAGTTCGCCAAATATCCGTCTCAATGATTGATGACCCCGAATTATCGCATCTATCATTTCAAGACCGGCCCAGGACTGTTGAAGCGGGAAACAGCGCCAGGTTTCAAGAGAGAAACAGATACAGACATAGGGCACATAGCCAGCGGCAATCCTCCGATTGGAACAGTCGACGTGGTAGTGACTATGGCATGCCGTTATCGCGACAGTCGTCTCAAAACCAACTTCGAAGCAAGTACAGCTACAGTCAAATCGATGAAATGGCGAGGAGTTATTCCAGCAGTGCTGTTCTACCAGTTCACCTTATGCACTCTCACACAACTTCGCAAGTAGCTACGGAGGAGACTGGGAGGGGCAGGCGGCGTTCTTCGCACAAACAACTGAAAGAGGGACGGCGCGAGTCTCGTGGCACGCAAATGTCCCAGAGAGAACCAATCGATCTTTCACAGTTTGCCCTCATCGAAGAGTATCCTTCTGCTGATTGTCCTGTGCACGGAAGTCGCCCTCCGTCTGGGACCAGGCGTCAGGGCAATTCGAGGGCCAGAGGTCGATCAGGGAATCGTTCGCAACCTTTGCTGGAGGCGGAAACAGCTAGGAGACAATCTACCAGGCGCGGTACGTCGCGGAATGAAAGCCAGAGGGACGGCCACAGTCTATCACATCGACGTACGCACTCGTCACAACCCGAACAAGTCCGGTCCAGCAATGAGACGAGACGGGCCGAGAAGGACAGGTCCAAGGAATCTACTGCAAAGACGAGTTCCGGCCCCAAGACACCGACTGCCATGCAATTGATTCCGGATCTGGAGTTGATTGATGGCCTTGAGAAAACATTTTCTTTGCTTAAGTGCGTGGAAAAGGCTCCGGCACATATTGTGAGGCGACGCGTGAGCTCAGTTTGGTAGGGTTTTCTTTTTACTCGGTTTGGGCGGCCGGTGTCATCTGGCCTTGATTTGCTTGATTTAGCGACAATATTTGGACCATGGACGGAGCTTTTTCGTAATGCTACGTGAGGTATCGAGCATGAAGTAGTGTCTGGTTGTGTGAATCCGAGTGAATGGCGTCAAGCGTGGATACGGCGTAAGCAGGGCCTCACGAATCTTACTCGTACACCAATGTCGTCCCTTGCAGCTTAGACGTGCATAAGCGAAAGGGAGGGGTTCTCATGTACACCGCAGCCACTGTAGGCATGCGGCCTTGATGCGTGTACCTTGGCTGCCGATGTACAATAGATGTGATGCAACATGCATCGTGGAGTGGTGATGTTCGCATGCTCACAGTTGGCTCTCTCATGCGAGGTTTAATGGCGCGCCTAGCAGAGTTTCGACCACAAGATACAATGTTTTTCAATACTTTCCCCTGAGAGTCTTCACCTAACATCAACAAAGCGTGATCAAGTGTGATGGCTGCGCATGTGAGCGGTGCTTGGGGGCGGGTAAAAGTGCTCTCGTATGGGTAGGTACTCGTCCGTCCGTGAAGCGCGAGACATGTGAGGGGATAGCACAGAGTACAGAGCACAGGGATATTTGCATTTGCATTACCCAACCTCCACACGGGCAAAAGCTGTCATACCTACTCCGCACACTTGTACACTTTCAAGCCGTGTCCCGTCCCGGCAGTTGGTTGTACGAGAGGCGAGTTCCCATGTGGTGATGATGCCGATGGAATACGAGAAGCATCATTTTGATGCCAGAGTACAGTAACGTTGGCTTTGGATGGAGGACTTTTGCGTTTGAATGCGTGTTGGTTCGAGGCTGATGCGATGGGGACAGGCGGAGAAGTTTGGTATATTTCCGAGTGACTTGACATATTTCATCCATTATTCTCTTCTTCCATCAGCGTAGAGAATACCTCCTTGCTGCTTGATATGCCTACGGTGGATAGGGTAGCAGTGAGGCTTTCCTCCTGCAGCATGTCCAGAAAGGGCATGGCAATGAAGGCGAACGGGCTGGGATGACGTGAGGACGCCGCTCAGTTCATCGTTATCGAGCTATTGACATGACGGATTACGGAGGACTCGTAAGAAGTACTGTACGCAGACACGGCAGGATTGGGTTCTGGACTACTTACTCCGTAGTCTAGTTGATTCTTGCCTCGCGGCGGGGAAAAAGAGAGAGACACTCTTCTTTGTTCAACCGCCTCCAAGATTGACAATTTCGACACCGGGCCTGTCAGCGGCCATCCACAGAGTCGAATTAAGCGCCCAGGACGCAGCACGCCGCCAATCGGAGGCCGGCGATGGCCAGTGGCTGGTGATGGCGATGTGAATGCGAGCAGGGATCCCTGCAGAGGCTTGACGCCACACAGGGGGATCGCGGGTCGTCTCCCGCCTTTTAGTGGCCAGATGAGGCCCTTGAACCCTTGTCTGGCACAAGCTTAGTCTATGATCCGGCCCGGTGTGAGGTGACTCGAGATTGCTGGCTGGTTGCAAAGGCCCCCCAGACTGAGAGAGGCTAGCCCTGCCCTGTTCTGCTGTTCTGCCGGCTCACTCACCATGACCGTGATCAGGACAGGACAGGACGGGATGGGGCTGGATGGAGGAGATGAGCGGCGGCGTGAACATGGGCCGGCGAACCGGAACGTCCACTCTGGGTGGAGAATGTGAAAGCTCTCTCTTTGGGCCTGGCAGAGCACCTGAGATGCGACTCTGCATCTTCAATCACATCTGGCAACCAACAGCTTCCAGCTACAGCTAGTCCCCCTTGTTTTGTTCTTGGCTTCACCAGCGAGCACGTTTCCTGCTCGTACAGCCATTATAACAACCTCGACTGGCCCTCTCCGCGATTCTCCCCGCCCCGGCCAAGGACCGTCTCTCGTTCGTGAAGAGCTTCAAAACCGTCTTCAGCCGTGGCATGTAGCACAGGCCGGTCCTGTGTCTCTCCCGAAGCTTCCTTCGCCCCAATCCAAATCCCTCCCTACATTCGCTATCACAGACACACACACACACAAAAGCAGACAAAAGGCCACCCTCCCACACAGAGGCAAAAGACGGTCAACCGAGGCTTCCCGCCAAAAAAAAAAAAAAAAAGCCATGTTACGCCTCCTAACGAGCTTCGCAGCCGCCGGCGCGGTGCTGCCCGCGGCCGAGGCCATCTTGGTTGCGCCAGACTCGCCGTGCTCGACCAACTGCGGCAATGTTCTGGATTCGACGGCGCCCGATGACCTGGTGTGCACGCCGGGCCAGTACACGGGCGGCTACAACAACAACGCTGGCACCGTGTTTCAAGGCTGTGTCCAGTGCGAGCTGGAGAGCGGATATGTAACAAAGAACAACTATTCCGACAACGAGGCGGCCTTGTGTATGTCCCTATTGCTATTTCATCTCACTTGAGCCATGTATGCTACTTCGACAAGAGTTCTAACCCTTTGACCTCAGACAACCTCCGGTATGCTGTGTCATACTGCGTCTTCAACGAGCCCTCTCATTATGACTTTGTTAACAATCCATGTGTTACGAGGTAAATGCCACGCCGTCCTGGGCCTTGTGTCTCATGACTAACACGTTGGCTTTAGCAAAGCTTGTGGTGTCTTTGCCAACGCTATTGCGTACCAAAACTTGTCGGTCACATCTGACGACTATGGATACTGCGATACATGGCCTACCGGCGACTCTGTCGACTTTCACGGATGTATAGAGTGCCTTCAGGTTAACAACAACTACCTGGCAAACTGTATGATGCCCTCTTATGCCCCAAATTAATGAACATTGTGACATTTGCTAACGTGGTGTATAGTTGTTACTGTTCTTCAAGCCGGATGTGAGCAAAAGCCGATGGATGGCCTGACCCTGGGCCTTCATGGCAACATCTTCTCAAGTGATGTTGTCAACATCACTGAGCCTACACCAACGGCCAAGGTAGACCCCGCCTGGTTCGACCACGGCCCGCTGGGTTTGGGCGGCAAAGTTGGCGTCGCCGTGGCGGGATTTATTCTGCTATTGACCCTCGCCGGTGTATTCGTCGTCTGCAGAGGCAGAAGACGGAGAAAGGCCTTCCTCAGGAAGTTACAGACCAACATGCCACCGATGAAGTCTAACCCAGGAGGATGGCCATCCATGTCTACGAACCCGCACGATTCGAACGAAACTCCCATCAGCCAGCGGCCTCTGCGGAACTGGGATGACTCTCCCATGACTGCCAATACCGAGAAGACCTTCCCCCGATATTTCTCGCCTTATTCCTCCCAATTCAACAGTCCTATTAGCGCGACTGACGTCAACCATATGCCGTGGCCAGAACCCGCTCACGGATCTCCTCATTCTCCCCGAGAAATTGGACTCGCGCTTGGTTCGGCTATTGACATTAACAGTCCAAGCCATGAGCGATGGGTCTCGTCGCCAGACGACAAGGGCAAGATGAAGGAGGAGGCATACGAAATGCAATATGTCGACAGTGCCGGAAGCGGAATCGTCGCAAAGAAGCGGCCGATTCACGTTGAAGCTCCGATCCTGGCTCATCCTGGCTATGGGAGAAACTCTGATAGCCCGCCGAGACAATACGACGTGAACGGGAATGCGGTGCAAGGGGACATGTATGCAAATTAATGCTCACGAATTATGAAATATGTCATGTGTTGCCGGGTCTGATGCGGGTTTGTCCCTCTTTTTGTTTCTGTATGGTGTTTTTGGTGTGCTTTATACATATATATACCTCTTTTGTTGATGCTGTAGCGAAGGAGCGCAGTTTATTGGGATTGGGGTCATGGAAAGGGGTTAGGAGGGCTGGATGCTGGGGATACCCGAACACACCTTGATGGTGCAAATTTTTCAGAATACAGTTGCTACAATCTTGATTGATGGAGGGTTCTTGCTTTTGAATGAAGTGCGTAATGAGTATAGTGCCTAAGAGGTGGTTGGCATTATATCGATGCACATGTTATAGTGCATATGATATATTTGGTACTGGAGGCCGGCCGTCACAGAGACCAGAGACCGAACAACACGCCATACGTAAAAGATAATTTCCAATGTCAAATTTGTTGACACGTAAAAGATAATTTCTAAATGTCAAATTTGTTGCTCGCCTATCTAGCCGAGTGTTACTTCAATCTCCTCAAGCTCCATATTCTCCCATACCCCCTTAAGAACTCTTCCAATACCCCTCCGGTATGCAAAGCCGTCAACCCAGCCGATCCAAAGGATAAAATAAAACTCATAACGGAAGTCTATGAAATTCCACGCCCGCTCCTCTGGAGGGATTTCTCGCTTCTCAGCTAAGATATAGTCATCCTCCATATGAGGAACCCGCCCCTCAGCAATCGCAATTACTTCGCACCTCTCACCAGATTCTTGAGGGAAGCTTTGGTCCAGTCGGTCGTCAAATAATATCTAGCTCATGTTCCGTCCCCGAGACAAAGGTGGGATGTGCCATATACCTCACCTCCATAGGGGTCTCTGAGCTCGTTTGATTTGATCAGCCAACCTCGATTTGCGATACGTCTCAGTAATGGGCCGTATTCGACATCTGGAAGACGTGCTCCGGCACTCTCGGGAAACGGGAAGGGGTGCGGGTATTCTGTGTCTGGAGACAAGGTGTGTGAATACTTGAAATCATCTCTGCGGTCAAGTCCGGCTTGAAACGTTGGCGGGTCCCAGCCTGGCGGCATCGAGGCATGGTTACTGAAGTGTTGGTACTTGATCCGCTTTGATGCTCCTCCCAGAGAGCTGAGTTTCCACCATTGAACTCGGGGTTGTAGCTCATAAATGTTCTTAGACGATGCGTCTTTGTAAAAATTCTGTGCAAAATTCTGCCAGACAGAGGTCGAGATTGAGCCCCTCGTACGAACCCATGACCAGCTCGGAAGTAATAATGTCTGTGTCTTCCGGGGCTGAGGAGGAGTTGGATATTCCCAGCCTGGTTCCCATAGCAGAGAAGCATCGAAAAACATCTCTGTAAACCGTAGTGAAATCCCGAATGAAAAGACTGGTTCAAAACTGCCGTCACACCAGCAAAAGCGTGGAGCACATCATCGTCAAATGACAGACTCTCCTGACTGCATTCGCGGATCACGTCAACATAGTGCTTGATGTTGGGCCAGTTTGGAACATTGCAAATGAAAGACGTTCGGTCAAAAAAAGTGGCTATATATACCGTGAGGTCTCAACTCCCATTCGCAGCTTGTGTGTTCTTGACAGTGGAAGCCAACGACTGACGTGAAAACAAGAAGCCATCGTGATAGAGAGGACTCCTGAAATGTCCACCCGCGAGTTGACCATGTCCTGTCTTGGCCATACAAGGCAGCAGACCCAGGAGGATACCTGGGTCCAAATGAGAGTGTGAGGCTAGGAAATCGCATTTCGCTCGAGAAAGTATCCCGAGGCTCTGAACAGCGGCTAATTCCTGGAATGCCGTAATCACCATCCGCTCCCTCTGCGGCTACAATCGTAACGTATGCGTTGGCATAGATGGAGGCCATTTCGTTCAAAAACATGGTCCGTTCGTCATGCTCTTCCTGACCAGGGCCTTGGACAATGCATATGCAGTCTGTCCAGAAGAAAGGGCAGCCGAGTCTTCGTGCTACATCCATAGCATCCGATATGGTTCGCGCGAGCTTTGGCCCTTTCCCCCCTGGCTATTGATGAGTGCTCCTGGTTGTAGCATTTCCTCTAAATTCTCGGACGTCGTTTTCAACATTTCTACTCCGCCCCAGACATAGCTTAGAGCGATATGTCGAGGATTTTGAGCAGTATCGACCTTGACTAGGCACTGCCTTTCCAAATCAATAAGATATAGCCACGAAAGCCCACTCGAGGGCAATAAAGGAGCAATCTTCTGCAGTCCAGGGCCATGAAGGCGGTCGCACGTTTCGATCCATTCTTGAATGATTGTCGTATCTATTTCATAGACATCCATCAATCTGTTATATATATCATAGGGAAATGAAATAGAGCCCAAGCTTTCTGGTTCACTTGGCGATTTCGATAGGCAAAGTTTCAAAACCTCGGTTTCCCACTCGTGTCCACAGTGAAGGATACAGTGGAACTTGTCACCATTCCAGCATAACTCTGCTTCCCAGTCCCGCGATCTTGCCCGAGGCCCTGTACGCACACGCTCTTCTAGGGCAGAAAGAATAGACTGACAGCATCTACAGTCTTGATTCGCCCGAAGATCCGCGGTATTCCCCAAACTAAGGAACTCATGTGTCTTATCCGCACTGTGAGACCGAGTTGAAATGAAATTGTCGACGTATTGGCAAGTATTCAATATTCGCTATCAGGGATTCGGGTCGAATCTGGGCTGTGTGTGTCCCGACGGAAGGATCTCTTCTGGGAGTTTGATATAACGCCGATGCCGGTTCATTTCCCTTTCCTTTTCATCATAATGTTGCTTATACATGGACTCCATCTTAAAGGATGCGGAGGAGGTCGATCATGTATTCCGATGTATTGCTTATTTCACTCATGTACAGTGAAAATGCCTTTATAAACTAAATTTCACCTTCTTTAAATGCTTGAAATGCCTGGCCTTGGGTGCTTTGCTGCCTAACTTACAGCCTGATGCGACGATGAAAAAGGTATCCCGGTTTCATCCAATGAGTGCCTGATGCCCAAGATATAAAGCTCATTGGCTCGGAATTATGCATGCTAATGTCACGGGCCGGTTTCGGGATCGGAATGATTCCAAAGAGGTTCCCGCCTAGACGTCCTTGAACCGTGGAGACTCGCCCTTCGCCACACGCTCGGCCCATCTGCCGGCCTTTTTCTTCCATAACCCATCGCATTGCGAGACTGCTTCGTAGAAGTCGTTCTCCACCGGGCTTTCCTCGACCCATTCAGGACACAAGTCCTTCAATCTGGCTCTGTACACCTTCCGTAGCTGCGTCTGCTCATACTCCATCTTGTGAATCCAATACAGTTCGTTCTTGCCCTCGTTGTCTAGGTAGTCTGGGTCGTTACGTTTATCCGATTCTGCGGCAGCCTCCTCCGGTGTCTCGTCCGCATATACATTCCGCTGTGGCTCATCTTCCCGAGGCTCACCGTCAAGAAACTTGGGCATTTGAGTCAGCATCCAGAGTGGCAGTGCCGAGACGCATTCCCAGTCGAGCACAGCTGTGACTTCGCCTTGTTCGTTGACTAGAATATTGTTGAAATTGAGGTCATGATGTTGGAGAGCTGACGATTCTGATCTGGCCAAGTCTTGGGGGAAAATCTTGGGAAGGAGAGCGAGGAGGGTTTGTGCCACTGGCAGGATGTCCTCGGCATCTTCGATGTCGTCTTCATCCTCAGACTTCTCTAGAACCAAGTTTTGATGCCGTATGATGATGGCCAACATGGCGTTGAGCCAGTCGCAGCTCGAGCGAAATGGTCCCCTTGAAATGTCGTATGTAAGATGATCGCCCATGAAGAACTCAGGGGACACGAGGCGCCCAGGCGCGACCGCGGTTTGTGGCGCCGTAGAGTTGACTTGAAGATCTATTTCCGGCGAATCCAATGTCCCTATCCCTTTGAATGTGGATTCTGGCTTCTCGAGACCTGATAACTCGAACTGGAATCCTGCAAATCGCTTCGTGAGCGCGACCTTTTGCTCCATCGACATGCTGCGCCATCGCTTCCGTGCCGATGTGCCCTGCATATACTCCATCAAAATCCATTCGAAGCCGATCCCATTGTCATTACTGTCGTCAAAACCGAAGACCTTGGGAACTGGGACGCTGGTGTTCTCGCGCACCCACTTCAAAGTGACAACCTCGGCGCGTGTTTTGTGACGAGGGTAGACAGGTAATGTGACGCGCATGATGAAAGAGCGCCCGGCTGTGCGAACCAGGTAGACTCTATTGAAGAGACCTGCTGCGTGAAAGGTGACGGTGCAAGGGTCCTCAGAGGGCGTCTTGAGCTGTTGACGGCATATGCTCTCAATCGCGCCGATTGAAGGCTCCCGCGTCCATACTGGCACCAAATCAAACGTTGTCTGCTCCCACCCTAAACCGTCCTGCGGCGGTCGCGGCATGCTGGAAGTAGTTAATCGAGTAGAGATGTCGGGTTTGGATCTTTGTCGTCTGTGGCCTCAGGATACAGACGAGGCGGTGCTGGGAAATGAACGATTGCCTGTTGGACTTTTTCTGAGAGAAACCGGTCGATGGTGAATGGAGAGGAATGCGGGGTAAAGCCCAATCACACTCTAGAAGAATACATACATGTATATGAGATTCCAATACATGTCATTAAGCACGCAGCAAGCAAGGTACTGGGTACTGGGTTGGTAGAGAATTGGTGGTGCCAAACAAACGTGTGTGAGGATGAGGTTGCGTCATGTGACCACCATATTAAAGGCAGAAGGGTCCATGGTAAATAGGCAACCTACTGCTCCAAAGGATTGATATATAAGGTACCTAGGTACCCATTGGTGTAAAAAATCGAGACGTGTCTTATCTTTTTATTATGTAAAGAAATGTTCTCACTGGTCCTTGCTCCCATTGTTGTGTTCTCTGATGACGATGCTGATGACTGAGTTAGAGATCGCTGAGACACACGGCCAACATCCGAAAGAGTGACGAAAAGCATCATGTGTAACACAAACATACAAAGGGAGCTTGTACGTTGTGAAAAGAGGGGATACTGCCGGTCTATATGTAATTGTATGAGCTTAGGCAATGCTTAGTCAAATTGGCATGCAATCTCAGAACCAACAGGGACTTTGCATCATATTGCGATAGAGTCCAGACGCTGTTTGGCCCGTAACACTGACCAACTCGTACAACCGCGCAGCTTGGCCAGCTGGTCAATGGCAACCTATAGCTTGCCAACTCAATCAATATCGTGCCACACACCTCGGTTGTTGCCAGTCCCGGTCCTGAAGAGAATGGACTCTTATCTTGCATATGGATGGTTGATTGATCTGCTGTCTTAACGCCAACCTCATCATCGAGGCCAAAGAGAACGCCGTAAATTCCTACACACGCATAAACCGGCTCACGCCCCTATCAGAGACTGACCGGGATCTTGAAAAAGTAGATAAGAAGAGCATTTCACGTCTGTCTGGATGGTTATAACAGCCTAAGTCATAAACTTACAAGAACATTCTAAAAACGGAAATTCCTTCATATATCTTTCTAGTCTCAAGTCTCCACGCGTATTCTCTATCCCCCACCAATCATTCATCATGGGCAAGGCAGACAAACAACTCAAGGCATTCATCGAGAACATCCCAGATAGTTCTCTCACTGCGCTTCCGACGAATCCTGGGACTCTTCACAAGGATACTAATTTTAGGCTTGATATGCAAGGCGTGAGTATAAAATTTCCCGCTTCGATTAGGCCTACCCCCATTTGACTCGTGTGCAGATGACGAAGAAACAAGAACACAATCTCCAAGTCCAGGTCAATAAAGGCACAACCATCACGTCGTTGAAGAAAGTTGCGCCAAAAACTGTCGCAGGACCAGTCCTTGTCAAGTCCAAGGAGCCATCGTCTGCTGCAGACATCAGGGCTGAGCTTTTAGCCAAGATGTTAATCTAGAGGTACAATGTTGTATGTTGTTTATACCATAGGGGGACGTTAGCTAGCTTCATGTAGGGACTGTCCGTATATGATCTCAACCAGTAACCATGTCACCCCTTTCATTATGCGATATCCGTGCAGATCGAATGTGTTGTCAGCATCACGTTGTTTGTAAGCCTGTAGATTAATCTATCGAATAGCATATTCCCGATACTCGAGGTAAAAACCACTAAAGTTCCAATTTATAATGTTTTGAGGCTAATCGGTCACAATATCTCAAAACCACTGCCTGTTGCCAAACACTTTAGTTATGCATGAATGGTGAGAATAATGGATGGAGTACGAGGCTGAAGTCGTCGAGAAGGAAGAGAGATTGAATGTGCGTATCAAGTATCTGAATTGTTGGGCATCCCATTTTCCACCAATGAGCGCTTGATGCTCGAGAATCAAAGCTCATTGGCTCGGAGGGTTACATCGGATGCATGCATGCTTACGGCACCCCAACCAACTCACTCCAACACCATTCCCGCATCACCAGTTGAACAAAAGAAGTCCTTATATATAAAGAAGACAAAAAGACAAAAAGAAATCAACATACAACAACCGGTGTTCGCTGATGGTCACCCACTCAACTACTAATCTGTCTCTCATTAGCTTGACTCTGGGAGAGCGGACGGGATCCCGTATTTTCGAATGGATGTGGTCGTATGTACTAAACCTACACCAACTCCATCTCATATTCTTGCTCGCAACACAACGACCAGGGCTTCTGGGAATTGCAAAAAAACAAAACATACAACAGCTGGTGTTCGCTGATGGCCACCCACTCAACTACTAATCTGCCGGTTAGTGGCTTGTATATGGGGGAGCAGACGGGATCCTGAATTCTCTGCTATCTACGCCATGCCCAGTCTTTTCCGCTAGCTTAGGTTGGGAAGAAGATATTATATCTATACTTTCAGAGCATCAGATCTCGCTATGCATTACTTGCAAAGCTGCCGTTCAACCCGGAAAGGGTATTGAATCTTATCATCCGAGTCGGAGGTTTTACAGCTTTTGGATGAACCCCCTAGCGGATTAATCGGTTTATATGAGAGAATGATGAATTGGATTGATCGACTCATATCCAACGACAAGGACCGCTGCTCCAAGTTGCAACATCTGAGCAACTATGGCAGCTATATACTAGTTAATGATTTAGAGACGCTGCCTATCATAGCTGGATTAAGAGGTCGACTGACACAAATTGAAAATCTCAAACCCTTGATCTGGATGTGCAGATCTCTTTTTCACTGTTCGAGAGAACATTGTTTAATCTATCCATCAATCTGCGAAGGAGTCTTCATTAGAGAAGGCCGCAGTCACATTTGCCCTTCTGGGTATGAAGTTATCCATAGGGGCTTATTTAATCGCGTTTTTGAAGCTATAGTAAAATCTAGAAAGCCGCGACCGAATACATACGCTCTACCGCATCCCGGCGTTAAGACGCAAGAGGTTTCTGTGCCCAGCCAGACCTTCTTATGGGAGTCCAATATTATGCGTACTGGCTTCAACATTTCTACAACAGCTCTTGCGACAATTATTCAACGCGATATGCTTAAAACTATCGAGAGAAGTTTCGACATCATACTTGAAAAAGATCATCATATTTTCATCACTAAACGCTTCAAGTCTACTGCAAAACATATACTAGTAATCCACCTTGCCAACGTCCATCTTGCCGTTGCGTCGTTCAAGATCAGCCTTTCCGACGTCCATCTTGCCGTTGCGTCGTTCAAGGTCAGCCTTTCCGACGTCCATCTTGCCGTTGCGTCGTTCAAGATCAGCCTTTCCGACGTCCATCTTGCCGTTGCGTCGCTCAAGGTCAGCCTTGCCGACATCCATCTTGCCGTTGCGTCGTTCAAGATCAGCCTTTCCGACGTCCATCTTGCCGTTGCGTCGTTCAAGATCAGCCTTTCCGACGTCCATCTTGCCGTTGCGTCGCTCAAGGTCAGCCTTGCCGACATCCATCTTGCCGTTGCGTCGTTCAAGGTCAGCCTTGCCGACATCCATCTTGCCGTTGCGTCGTTCAAGATCAGCCTTGCCGACGTCCATCTTGCCGTTACGTCGTTCAAGGTCGGCTTTGCCGACGTCCATCTTGCCGTTACGTCTCTCGAGGTCGGCTTTGCCGACATCCATCTTGCCATTTCGTCGTTCAAGATCAGCCTTGCCGACGTCCATCTTGCCGTTGCGTCGTTCAAGATCAGCCTTGCCGACGTCCATCTTGCCGTTGCGTCGTTCAAGATCAGCCTTTCCGACGTCCATCTTGCCGTTGCGTCGTTCAAGATCAGCCTTTCCGACGTCCATCTTGCCGTTGCGTCGTTCAAGGTCGGCTTTGCCAACATCCATCTTGCCGTTGCGTCGTTCAAGGTCGACTTTTCCAACATCCATCTTGCCGTTGCGTCGTTCAAGGTCGACTTTTCCAACATCCATCTTGCCGTTGCGGCTCACGAGGTCGACTTTGCCGACGTCCATCTTGCCGTTTGGCGCTGGCAGAGCCAAGGTGGTGTAGGCCAAGATGGCTACAATGGCAGCGGAGTTGAACTTCATGATGATGTTTTATTGGTAAAAGGGGATTTACTTGTAAAAGGTATTTGGGGTTTGTGATTGAATTGAGATGTTGATAGGATATGAGTTGATAGGATATGAGTTGATGGGAGTGTTGGGGAACTACAAACGGTTTATATAGAGCTCTCATACTTGGCATAGTAAGCATATCTATTCTTCTCTAGGATACCATTACCTATTGCTACAACATTTAGCGGGTCTTTTACTGAGTCTTCGCCTTACAGTTGGCCCTACCAACCGGCAGTTGTAGCGCGGCTCGACTTCTGATCACCCGATCAAGGTGTCCCATGCTTGTTTCCAGTGGCGGTCTGTAAACTCAACTTGGGTATAATCATCGTTTGCCTCAGACAAGCCCTTTCCGTAGGTAGTACTCGTCTGAGTGTCTGACAAAAGTGCCTATGCTGTCGTGTACCAATCAAATGCCTCAACAGGGTTTTATGGCTGGGGATTTCATGTCAGAGACAGAGTATCATACCTAACAAGTATTAGTTTTATAGTAATAGTCTAACTCCTGGATAGATAGATGCATACAGGCTACACCATACTTGATAATAGTGAGTCAGACCGTATGTACTCCTTAACTAGACTATCTATTGGTGATAATTGAGATACTAAAGTCTTTTATGTTATATAAGGTTATACTCTATCGATAGATGAAAAATATTCAAATGATGTTCATAATGTCTTTAGAGTGTGTTTATTATAGACTAACCAAACGATTTGATTTGAACAAGTGCAAAAGTGAAATGAGAGCCCTCCCCCCCCGTAGTCTACACCCTTTGATGACGAGATTTATTACAGATCTAATCAGATAGGTCTAGCTAAGCCGGATTACAAGGTCAGGCGCTTAGATCCTGGGATACTGAGATACTGCTGTACCGTACGGAGTATCACGAGTACCTCGCAAAACTCGACTGGGGGTCTTCTCCAGATATGACCCGTTAATTACTAAGGGTAGTAATCATCTAACTGTGTGCAGTTAATTAAGCGAAGAAATCAGAGAAACCCACAGTCGAGTTTTGCGAGGTAGTAATACGGCAGTATCTCTGCCGTGTTAGAAGTAGCGGCCGAAATCCGCATTAGCGTTCATGCATATCATACGGAGTACGGAGTACTACCAGGGGGCTTCAAAACCAGCAAAACCCCGTCCCACGTCATACCGGGGTTTAAAGACCCCTAGTACATGGGACGGGGTTTAACACATACCACGGGCTTGGCTGGTTTTGAAGCCCGCAAGATCCCATCATATCTGCTAAAAATTAGTCCTATAGAACCCAATCTCACCGCTAGTTCAATCATCTTACAACTAAGTTAGTCTCCAGTATTATACGGTAAACTAATTCAAGTGCCGGAGTTGAGATATCGGCCCTCGGAACCCTACGGACCCCGCACAATAAGACGCATAGATTGTGCCGTATCGCTTTGATTAATCATACAAAGAAGTACGAGTTGATAATCAGAGTCCGTGGTAAACATGGGTGATCGGGCCGTCATGGTATTGCGGCATGCTTAGCACATCACAAGGCTTGATGAACTTACTTGGCGTTTACAACGCGGAATCATGATCATTTTGAAAATGTAAATCACTACTCAGCACAAATATATGTTCACTTTTATACAGATACATAGGTGATCAAAGGTTTAAAGTAATCAAAGGTTTAACATACGGTTATCTAACTACATAGTAACAATCTCTTAAGCAATCTCATTAGCGTTTTCAGAAGCCCAACTATAGCCTGAGTCTCAGTCGAAAATTGTGAATAGGAGCATCCGAGAACAATCGGTTGAACTTCCCATTTTCGTCCACAACTCCAACTACCTAGTGAAATTCTGCTGTGTACCTCTTATGCAGCCACTGAAGGCTTGTCATTTTCTCGTCCCAATCCCCAATCATATTGGGCTTCCACTTGCCCGCCTCTTCGTATCCTGGCAAAGTATCTATGAGCACATCCGCATTTGGCTGGCAAAAGTAGACAATGGCATATCTGTCGACCACAGTACCGCTGGGCTCGTAGTCGTCCCGCATCATGATCTCACGAGGTGCAACAACACGATGCAGAGAGCTCTTCCAGCGGCCGTTTGTTTGGCGCTCGAGCATATCTCCAACATTGAGAATGATGGTGCCGCGCTTGGGGACGATGGGCCTATAAGCTTCACCATCGTGTACCTCAAGCCCTCCCACAAGCCCTTGGAACAGCATCGTCAGGCTGCCATAGTCTGAGTGTGCGTTTAGCCGGTGCTTAGTCCCCGAACGGAGGGGTTCGATGAGCATTTCCGGATAGTGCATGAGGCTAATATGGGCGTCATATTTAGATTCCTGCTTGCAGAGCAAATCTGGATCTTCGAGCTTAAGTGCCTCGCCCAGGCATCGCTGCAAGCTCTGCGAGAGCTCCGTGCAGGCAACGAACCAGCGTTCGTGAAACGCGCGGAAGCCAGGCAGGTCCTCCTCTGGAATCCAGTTATTGGGCACTAGCTCACTATCCGGCCTGCTGTTACCCAACTCGAAAGTCTCCTTGATCTCTGGAGCAGTAATCTTTGTCTTTTCAATCTCGTCAGGGTCAAAGAGCAGCTGGACGGTATGTCCAACGCCTTGAGGGGCATAGCCGCGATGGCTGTAAGGTGTTTCATATGCTGGATGTTTGGCCTTCATCTTCACTTCCAATGGAAGAGCAAAGAGACGTTTCGACTGTTACAATATTTAGCTGCCATCGAGCCGAAAATTAGCTTGCCGTTACTTACCCATTCAAATGCCTCCTCTAGCATCTCTTCTGGAATACTCGAGTTCGACAAGTAGACGAACCCATAAGTTTGAAAACCTCTATCCAGCTCGTCCAGCCATTTGGCACGCTCCTCTGGAGATCCACACAGACCGGCGTAGTCGATAACCGGCATGTCAAATGGAATCTCGACAGACGCGGCTTCTTTCACCTCAGTTGTATAGTGAGAGGCACCCATTTTGCGTTGTTTAGAGTTGTTTAGAGAGTAGAAATCAATTGAAGACGGTTGATAAGGCGTATATCAGGAAATGTTCGACTGAGGTTGTATTCTCGTGCAAAAAATTACGGTGACTTTATTGTTTGAATCATACCCCTATCTTTGTTACTCATGCTACGAGTATACCGTTGCTTTTGCTAATTAAATCATACCCCTTTACTTAAGAATTACTAGGAATGTAATCACTACTTAAGAATTACTAGGAATGTAATCACTAGCCCTTATCCATGATACGATTTATGCTGCGGAGAGTGCAACCAAACATAAGACGTCAAGGACCGGACGAGACTAATTCTCGGCTTATAGTCCGAAATGATGTCAAATTACCAAGATAGTGAGAGTGTATAACGTACTCGTACATGCAGCCCCAAGGGTCGGCAGTAAGACGGTCGGTCTTCCGGCTTTCCTCGAATGTTGAGTCTAGGTACGTGTCAGAAATTAGTTGATCTAGATAAGGCAAGCATCTGCCGATTGGGCCGCCACCCTAGTCAACTAGCCTTTGAAACTCGAGCAAGGGGTGGTCAAATATGAGTACCGATTGAACTCTGATTGGCTGCCACTGTTCTTCTAGTAGACTGCCTAGTCTTTGAAACTCTAGCAAGGATGGTTAAATATAAGTGCCGATGTAACTCTGATGAGTTGCTATGACGAGTACTCTCCTAGTCAACTGGCCACGCGGTGGAAGGAAAACACCGTCGGTCTTGCCATTATAATTTGTACGGGATCGGCGGCACTGTAGTTGCATTCTTTCCACCCCTTGCTAGCCTTTGAAACTCTAGAAAGGGCGGTAAGATACAAGTTGCCGATTTACGAGTAGCTCTGATTAGCTGCTACTACTCTCCTGGCCAACTAGGCCTACAGAGGTAGACTGTAGAAGTGGCGGTAAGATATTGTATAAGCACTAAAAAGAAAATCTCTTTACGAGTACTACTACTCGTACGTCTGTCGCTGCAAGTAGGCTTGTGTTATGCTGATTTCTTGGTGAGTTGCCCTTGTTGTTAATGAAGTGGTAATACTACTACCTTGTTTCCCTGATGCCTCCAGCAGTTAGGTCATGCATCATACAAGAAAGGAGGAGAATTTTCTGCAAGGCAGAAGCGGCCCATTCGCCTGATGATGGAATACGAGTACCTATGCATAGCAAGCGAGACAAGTCACGCCCTTGTAGTCCTAGTAGTAGTGTGATATATTATCCCTTCTTGTCCCGCTATTGTGTCCTCGCTCATCCAAATCAAACTTTCTTTACTTAAAAACACACATCTACCCTGTCACGGCTGCCATAAGTCTTACATCAATCGAAACATTTTCACATGGACAAAAAGACTGAGAAAAGGCCAGGACCGTCTGGGGAGCGGCTTTTGAAATCGTTTGACGAAGAATCGAGAGATAATGATTCTGTCACGCTGTGGAAAGAGAAAACTCCATGGTATCGCTCTGGCCATCTGAGGATACTATTTATCGGAGGACTAATCATCCTCGCCCTCGGCATAACGGATATAATACAATTCGTTAAACTTTCAAAACGGCATCCTGCCACAGTTGTTACCTTCGAGCCGGGTGAATCTGGGAGATGTGGTACCAATGCAACCGAGGCGATTGCTCGTGGCTGCGTCTTCGACTACATGAATTTCAGCTGGCAGCCGCCCGAGTGCTATGATCCTGAACTCGATGCAAAGCATTCCGCCATGATGAGAAAGGATGGCCCGATAAAGTGGTGGGCGGACGTCAATCTGACACAGCCGCTACCGGATGATGCGGACGTCCTCAAGATGTACACTGAGGTCTGGTCAGAGCGCAGGTTTCACTACAAACACTGCATGTATTCATGGGAAATTCTTCATCTGAGCTATGATGACGGGCGACCAATTCCCGACTTGATGACCCATGAACATTCACTGCATTGCGCCATGGTTTTGGATAGAGCCATCAGAGAAGATGATGGCACAGAGTTGTTACTTGAGCATGCAGCCACTTGGTACTCTGCGTGTGTCTGGCCTCGAGCATAGCCTTTACTTAGTTTCGGAATAGAAATATAATCTTATCAACCATAGTAATCTGATAATGCAAAGTAATTGCATGTGTGTCTTCATTAGCACATGTAATAAGCTAGCATTTTTTTTTACCCACAAATCTATCTCTACGTAGTCGATCGAGCTGTAGATTGTTTAATTGTCAACAGGGTTTCAGTTCCAATAGCAAATACTCATGGGGGAAAAAAAATAGCTGCAGAGTTTCATAGTCATAGACTCATACAGTAGTCGTGGCAGGGTCTGTGTCGCTGCCGGCTTGTCGTTGCCGCGGAAGTCTCGACGTGGCTACTCGTAGCTGCACGACTGTAACTTTGGCTCAATCATGGGTTGACAGCGTTGCATTCAACTAGTGACATTACCGTCGGAGGAGATGCGGTCAGGAGGGATGCGGTCAGAAGAGATGCGGTCAGAAATTAGGTACTCACAACTCGGCGTTTGGATTAGGTACCTACTCACAACTCGGCGTTTCAATTGGGTACTCACAACTCGGCGTTACCAGGTTCCCTGTACAAGACTAAGCCATGATAGCAGACATGAGACAGCTGTGAAAGTTAGAAACTGGGTTTCGCTATACCTTGGTAGTTTCTCCAAAAGATCATCTATGTACTACGTGATGGAAGATATAAAAGTCATGCCAATTACCATAAAAACTGCCTAGATCTGTAAATCGGAGCTGTAGTGTCTTGTCTTTCCGCTGAGTTTCTTATTCGCATTTCCATTTCGCATCATCATCGTCATCATGGCCGCTACAGCGCCTATTCCAAAGCATACATTTGCTGAACGCGCTGCAGCAAATAATCTGAGTGATTCTCAGATTCTCAACTCCAACAATGCAGCAGGCTCAAGTCTTCCCAAAGAGTCTGACGTTGTCGTTGCTGGTGGCGGCATTCACGGTCTCCTTTACGCTATCCACTCAGCCAAGCACAAGCCAGGAAACCTCAAGATTTCTATTGTCGAAAAGAACAGCAAACCGGGATATAAAATTGGCGAGAGCACCCTTCCCGTCTTTTCCATGTGGTGCAAGATGTATGGCCTCACGGCTGAGTATCTCTTGCGCATCTTCGGCCTCAAGGACGGACTGTGCTTCTTCTTTCTTGATCGAGAGGAGCCAGGAAAATTCGATGATTTCGTCATCAATGGCACAGCTGGCACCCTTCTGAGTGGTTTCCAAATTGAGCGACCAACCAGCGAGCTGCTATTTACACTATTTGCACAACGAAGCGGTGTCAATGTTTACCATGGAACCGAAGTTAACTTTGACGCCACCAAGGTCAATGGTGGTCTTGATAAGTGCAATATTGGGATTGCCAAGGGCAAGGTTCATGATACGCCGGAGACTTCAATCCAATCTTCGCTTTTGGTTGATGCAACAGGTCGCTTTCGTCGAGTAGCCTCTAAAAATGCCTCCCTTCACCGATTTGAAGGATGGAATTACGACGCCTTCTGGGGATATTTTACTAATCCAACGGATACAAGCAAAATACCCTTCCCGCATTATGAATCATGCCATACCAACCATATTTGCTTTCCCGAAGGCTGGATCTGGGTCATTCGTTTGCTCTCATGGGAAGGCAACCCAACCGCCAATATGATGGACATGATGACTTACTTGCTCGACTGTGCCGAGTCTGGTGTCCCAGGTGACCAAATCCCAAGCACAGATGAACTCGCCAAGATGTTTGGACTCAAGTATCGGTGGGTCACCAGTCTTGGCTTTGCTGTGCGCAGCGATGTCGAGTACCCGGAAGACATGTCTCCGTACGGAACCAGAGAAGCTGAGCGCAGGTTCAATTATTTTGTGGAAAAATATCCTCTCATCAAGGAGTTTATGAGCAACTTTGAGCTCATAGAAAATCACTACGGCCCAGGTACAACTTGGTACATCCGCAAGAGTTTAACATACCAGTCTCCTGTTGTCTCTGGTCCGGGTTGGCTTTCTATTGGTGATGCATGCGGCTTCACCAACCCACTTTGGTCCCCGGGCATCAACGTTGGCATGTCTACTTCAACGTATGCTGCTGAGCTCACACACCAGGCACTCGATGCTGCGAAGAAGGCCAACAACACAGAGGCCGCCGAGCTCTCAATCCGCGAAACCTTGGCCCCATATGACGCATATGCCAAACGCCTAATTCCTGCACTTAACCAGATGAACCGTTTCAACTACGTCTGCTTCCGTGACCCAAGGCTGGGTGCTCAAGTTTCGGCTGCTTGGCAGAATATTGCGAGCGCCCTCCAAGGTTATGGGCGCATGCAGGGTAAATTCACATTAACGCCGGAGACATTCGTTGACTACGCGGTGAATTGGTGCTACGGAGCTCTGAATCCAACATACGATATTGTGGCGCGTAAGGCCATTGAACTCCTCGCACCTATTCCTCTGAAGGATACTGTGCCCGATCATATTGTACGTGAAGTGATTGAATTCGCCAACGGCGTCAAGAAGTCTACCCTTGAGTCGGGCTCCATCAACCTCCGATGGGATGGACTGTTCCGTCGCTTCGATAGGCGTCTCAACTACGTAAAAGAGAAAGAAACTAAAGACACTTTCGCACGCCTATGTTCTAATTGCTCTTCATGGTTTGTGCTCCGTCCTGATTTGAAGAAGTGCTACTCTTGTGGTGCGGAGCGGAGCGATGAAGAGTCAAAGATTCTTTATAATCCTCCTTTGGAAGTCAATTAGTATAGTAGTTAAACTACCTGGTTAAATCTACAGAGTCCTTGGAGTTCAAAATAATGAAAATCACTTTTCGCGCCAGATTTCATATTCAAACTAGTACTTGTTGTGCGTGTATACATGTATTTGACACATGCAAAATTAGATATCAGACAATGGAGTACGAGTACAGTCGGTTCGAATCCGGCCAGGGTACCCTTTCTAGCCAGGCTTCCCATAAGCAAGCCCAGCTTGTGAAGACATAATGTTGAAATGGACCGCTATGGCAAAAGTGAAGTGACCGCTTCCCTCTGTATAGCGTTGTATCTCTACGTAAAGTACCTGTATCCTACTAGGTAGTCATTCTGACACATAATGATGAGACCTCTACGAGGTAGCTTTTAGAAGTAATGTTGAATATTTGAACTGGCCACCAGTTACCTCCTAGTAACTTACGGGAGCGATAGTCGGGCTCTACCCACCCGCCAGCCTACAGTACCGACCGCACGAGACGAGCTCACGCTGTCACAAGGCGACAAACGTTGTAACAAGGCAACCTAGGCTACGAGCATGCAACTTGCGCCTTTGATTGTCGCGTTCGTTTTCTGCTGACTTGTATGTACGTGTAAACACTGCCAACCAACCAGCCAACCCTAGCGAATCATACATGGAGTAGGATCCCAGTAAGAAGAACCAGGGCTGCTGTGAGGATAGGTGCAGGGAAAGCGAGCTCTAGACGCGCACAGCGTTAATACATCGTCCTTGTTTCCCATTACAACGTCCAGTGTGGCGCCCACCAGCTTGAGTGCATAGATCTGCCCGCGGATATCGACCTTGGCCGGCGTGCTCGAGGAGTTTGATCGTTTGCGGCCCCTGGAAGTCAAACGGCTTCAACTTGGGGCCGTCAACGAGTGGCTGCCCAGAATCAGGGTCGTATATTCGTGGTGGTGGCTGCTGAAGTTAGTTTTCAGCCAAAAGAAGCCACCGGCCCTAATTGTTCAGAATGCTTCGTGATACTTTCTTTTTAATTGGGGCAAGATAGTGATGCTTTGAGCAATTCAAAACGATTTAATCTCTCAGTGTCCCCTTTCTTACCTTGGAATCTTGGTATGCCAGAGAATATCATCTCTGGTCTGCAAGAGTTGGATTTTCCACCTATACATGTATCTTGTGGATCTTGTCGCTCGGCACAATGCAACAGGTGATGAATGCCATGCAAGTCGAGTCGCCAACCTCCACCGCCATGGGCTTTTGGTGGGACTCGCTACCAGTTGAAGTACGCCAACAAATACTAAGATGGGTCATTTTACCCAGCTCCGGGAAACGGTGCAACGGCCCAAAGGTGGCTCGATTTGCAACAGTGTGTCGCGAATGGCAGGAGATTGTTGAGACTTGCACATTCCGGCGTCTCGTCCTTGATCCTAGCTCTGTCAGCGAGTTAGCAGCAATCGTCAGACGAAACGACTCTCGCTTAGGATATATCCGAAAACTCTGGCTTCAAGTTAAACTCGCCAGATATACGTGCCCTGCTTGCGATGAACCAGAGGATAGAGCAACACAGTATTAGTAAGTGATATTTCCATCTCCATCTTCATCTAATAGAATATACTTTTCTATTAGAGGTGGGCTAATCCAAGTCGTACAGCAACAACACCATCTTCACAACGTGTATTCAGTCCCTACTGGAGACTCTTAAACTCTGGGATCCTGCAAGGCATGGCGTATGGGGAATAACGCTAACGCTATCTATTTCCTCCCCCAGCGATACAGAGCATCGACTCAACCGATTCGAAATAAAGGACGATTATCCATTTCTTTACGCCGAGGACCTGGATGATCTTAAACCCAGCATATTTGACTTTCACAAGATGAACGCTGTTAATCCAATGAACATTTACTTTCACGGCGATGGCCTTCCGCCGTTATATAACGAGCATATCACAAGGATACAGGGAACTCCGCTTCGCTTACAAGCGCAGAGGAATAACCGAGGCCGTTTTGTAACTCAACACAAGACCAGCCTTCCTGCGGTGCCCATGATTAAAGGGCTGGTCATCCGCAGACAGTTTCGCAGGGAAATTCACGTGGGATCCTTGTCCCAGCTCCTTGGCCAAAGTTTTATAGCACTTGAGTGGCTTCGCTTCGAGAGAACAATCTCTTTAAACCCTTGTCAGCAAATGTCTTTTGATCGAGGTATGTAAGACGATGGTTAGGGTTTGTGGGCAAGCATTCAATGACTACTAACATTACCTCTCTCTTATCCAGGCTTCCAGTTGCAATTACTCCCATCTCTGCCGACAACCTTGCGTCAGTTGTCCCTGACGCAGTGGGAAATCCCTAAAACCGAACTTCTTGATTATGTCTACGATGAGTCGGGATCCCAGATATCTATGCATGCTACAGAATACCTACCTCAAGAGATGGCAAAGCTTTGTACAAGATTAGAGCATTTCTGCCCACCATGGCAGATGGATACAGCAGCTTTTCTTCAGTTCATGATTAAGCCAGACACACCATCCAATATGGCTGAAAGAAAGAGCTCCCTAAAACGCGCCATCTTGCGCTGTCCGCTGCCAAATTTAGAACACAGCGGGCGCGATTTCGTCCGGCTGGTGATTCTCGCGGCGAAAGCGGCCCTGCACTCTCTTCCGCAACTTGAAGTCATGGAGCTTTGGGGCACATGTGTTGACGGAGAAGAAGGCTCTGCCTACATATTCCGCTACATGTACGAAACGAGTCGATCCAGCATCGTCTGGAGGAGCCTCGGAAACACCATGCTTGCCCAAACGCGAGTTCTTGCCCAGTGGGGAGAGGTGGCACGGGAACATCACCAGACAATTCTCACGAGCGACGTCACCCCCTTTCTGGAGACGAAGATGGATGTGGCCAAATCCAAGGGGACTTGCGTATTCCAACATTTGCTGCTAAAAGATTTGGTGTTTGATCCTATCACGCAGAAACATCTGGAGATCGAAGCACACCTTTCCCCATCGCAGCTGAGTGATCCTCTGGATGCAAATGATTCATCTCCAGAATTGCTGCCCATAGATCTGGAAGAAGTGACTGGTGTTGAAATGGACGATGACCTGGCGTCGCTGGAAGCAGAAATATTGGATTGGGAGGCAAGCGTAGTGCTTTGATTCGGTAGCTTTATGGATATTTGGCACTGGTCGAGGAATATTCACTGGAACAACTTGAAATGTCAGGAATGGTGGTACATGTTTGGAAGGTCAATCTCAATAAGTTCTAAGAGCAAAAAATTGATTCAGTCGTATCTGCCTGCGTTAATACCGCCAAACTCTGTTTGCCGTATGTTAAGCGATTTACAAAATGGAAGGAGATTTCCCCAAGATAAGGTATAAATACAGCACCGCGCTCCAAGCTATAACCTTGATTTTCTTCTCTAAAACAACAACAACAAACAACGGCTACGACTACGAGAACGACTACGACTACGACGACGACGACGACGACGACGATGACGACGAGAATCGAGAGGTTGTTGGTGGCCATGTTGGTCGCCATCGATGAGCTTGCTACGGCGAGCAGCGAGAGGGAGCGCCGGCGACACCGGCGGACCTTGGTCCGTTTGGTGGAGCGGCTGGATGGGGAGTTGGGGAGGCTTCTTGGTGTTGTGGGCCAAGGCTCCGGTTTGCATCGACGGTTGCTTAGGCATCTGGAGGTGGAGAGGATGCTCTCGGGGGTACGGTGGCGGGACTTAATGTGAGTACATCAACATCATTACAATATTCATTACAAGTATTATTATCCTGCCCACTTCGTCTGCCTCTCCGTGGCGGGCGGGAGAAAACTTCTCGCGTGAATAACACCGAGGAGGCTAAAGACGAATAGATAGTGTTTGTTGTCAGAAGTCCTGTAAATAGAAATTTACATTTTCTCTGCTACACTTGCCTGTCATTTACTGCGTGATGCCCCTTTCATCGGCAACTTCAAAGCCCAATCGTGGACAAAATGATCCCATTCGTAAGTACTAGATAAACCAAATAAACAAATGATCCTATACTTTACAACGTCAACGCTCAGTCCCCGAGTCCCATTTCACTTTTTACCTTGTCCACAATAGGTACGAGAGAAAATGTACAATAGTGTTGCAGGGTTTCTTGCGTTGAAGATGATCGCAAAACTTATCCTTACGGAGTAGTTTCTTGCAGCGACACCGGATAGCCGATAATTGATGGGGCTTTGCGGTTTCGAGATGCCGGCGGAAGTCTTTCTTCAGTCCAAAGTCAACATTACAAGTCCTGCAGTAGAACCGTCTTCCTCGTCGGTATTTTAGCTCAATATGATCGATGAGCTGGCCCAAGTTGGAAAAAGTATTGCGGCAGAAGTCGCAGGTGTAGAAGAACGGTAAGTCGGCTCGCGACGTATGAGTTGAGGTTGCGGGCGATGCGGAACTCGGACTTTCTGCGATTTGTGGACCTGGATCTTCAAAGGCTGTTGAAAGTGGTGGACATGTATCTGTTTCGGGCGAGGATGTAGTTCCTTTTATGAAATTGAATGAATAGCCAGTAGGAATCGATGGCTCTGGGAGTAAGTCAAGACCATCACTAAAAGCAGGGGTAATATCGCGATCGGCGGCGGCAGCCGATTGCTCGCATATGCCACTCCACAGATCGGAGGCCCCGAAATGCTTGTCAGATCCGGTTGTGTCTATTAAGTCAAGGTACCATATAAGATTGTGTTCATCGGCGTCTACGCGCTCTATGTGGTGATCGTCATGGTGCCCCTGAATGTTCGGCGCGCCGGAAAGTCCGGCACAAGAACAAGCAGGAAGAAAGTGTCTTTATAGGATGATGATAAGAATCTCCATGCATTGCGGAAATCAGGTAAGAAGCGATTGATAAATGCGAGAGAACCTAACAGGACTCGAGATCAGTCAAACGAAACGTCCATGGTAACAAGTCCAACCGGTAAGTTGGGGCGTATTAGAGAGGACTCACCGATGCAGCTCCCGTGATGGGTCAGCCCTAAGGCGCCCGGCAGGCCGATAACGAGCAGAAAAGAGAAACGAAAATTAGAAATCAAACGGTAGCTATATATATATCAGCTGCGTGTCATCAGCTGAGGCGCTCGGAAGAGGGGCCGTTTTGCTGATTCGCTGCCTTACGTCTCAGGACTGGGATGAGGGCCTTTTATCTGATTGGTCAACCTCTACATGCCCGTTTCTGTGAATTGATCCCCAAGCCTTTTACATTCCGTTTGTCAGGCTGAATTAGGCAGCGATAGGTCTATAGCAAGGCGTTACAAGTGTAATACCTGGTGACCCGGATTGGGTACTCAACTTTGTGCGCTGGCTGCATCATGAGTTAGCTGCTTTGGACGAGGGCCTTTAATCTGAGTGGCTAGTCAACGAGCAGAATAGGCGTTGATCTCCTGTGTTCTTATCCTTTTGTTACTATGGACCAATTGAGAGCGAGAAACATATAATGTAGTGGCGTTTCCTCAGCATAAGATCCAAGGGCCAATTCTTTGACTGGTGGGTAGGAGTCGGTACATGTACTTACAATTGCAGAATATTGTACCTTAGTAGGTATTTGTTACAGACAATCTAACATTTTCTCTGCCTTTCCAATGAAGAAAATGGCCCTCGTTCGATAGCAACACGAAGATTATATGGTACCAAGATTTTTACCCATAAAATCCAAGTTCTAACATGTGACTAAAGAGCTAATAGCAGTTCTATAAAGCCGGTGCTGGCATGAATTTAATGGTTATGATATACTTTGTGTAGAACGATCCATCTATACATACATATAAATCCCATATATCTATATCTATCTATATGTATATATATATATCTTTCAATCCTCCTTCATACATCTAGACGCATAAGTTATTACCAAAAATCTATTTTTTGTACCTTGCCTTAGCATCTGCACAAACAGATTCAGCTCATAATCTTTGAAGATGACTCAAAATTCAGGGACTGAGAAGATTGGTATGTTCAATAGGGTTCTTGTCTCATCGTTCTCTAGACTAATGTACATCACAGCTTCGCAGCAACAATCGACCCAAGTCCCAAATGACGACCAGCTTCGGAGATGGCTATCACAGCCAAGGAATGAAGATCCATGGGTACCAATGGAATGCATTACAGGTTTAACTGAATGCGTAGACTTCAAGGCTAGCGGAGTCAAGAGGAATAAAGGAGACACATCAAGCAACTGTGCTACGCAGGGGTCTACTCTGGAGTATGGCAGAAAGAATTGAGATGGAGCGGCCACTGTATACCGCGTGAAAGATTGCTCCCAGCTCTCCCTTCTAAGTTGCAGCGGAATAATTGATACACTAGCTTGTCTATAGGGGAGGAGACGGGACTCCCAATTTTCCACCACCTGCGATCGTATGTGCTTGAGAACCGGGAGAACCAGGCCGTATGAGTCTAATTGCAAACTCTTTTATTTAATATATCTTGCGAACCTGGCATATCTGATTCGAGACTTCTAGAATGTCCTTCTAGCTTTGCTGATATTATGTTTTTTTTTTCGGCGACGCCTCATATACACCCCTGCTTTTTACATTGACCAAATATGTGCTGTCGTGGCCTTTTTAAAACCGAGTAATCATAGCCTCGCGGTCTGGGCCGGTACCAACCCACTTGATCTACACATTGTCAGTATACATCTCTATGGGATACATTGGCTTGGGGGGAAACAGAATACAGACCTTGACTCCAACGAATTCCTCAATGTACTAGTCAAACATGTTAGCGACATCAAGAATTTCAGGCGAATGTGGCAATGCTAACCAGGATGTAGTCTTGGGCCTCCTTGGGAAGCTCTTCAAAGGTCTTCACGTTGGTAGTCGACTGGTTCCAGCCGGGCATCTCGTGATAGATGACCTTGGCACGGTCGAGAACGTCCAATGATGCGGGATACGAATCGAGTTTCTGCAAAGGGTAAGCACATGTCATTTCCATGCTAAAAAGAGCTCAGAATCTCACCTCGCCGGTCTCGGGGTCTTCGTATGCAATGGCGATCTTGATGGTCGGGAAGGTGTCCAGGACATCAAGCTGAGAATTGAGTTAGCACATGCTCCTCTAACTAAGAATTAAGAATCGCAGTGTTTTACTTTGGTGAGATTCAGCGCCGTGTAGTGGTTGACGTCCTAGTGTACGTTAGATACCTGCAATAGGTTTCTCGCAAGGTGAATGGACGATATATACCGTGGTGTATTTGACGACAACGAGATCTAAGACTCCAGTCAATAATTGGTTCAAAGTATCATGGAAGTAAGATAGAGAGAGAGAGAGCGCATACCAAGCCTATTTCCGTTAGTCAAGACTCTTCATCACAAGTTCTTAAGCCAGGTGAATGCTTACCAGCCGCAGCGCCGTCTTCGGCCAGTTGAAGTACCCTAAGGCCCTGTCAGCTGCGTGCATATCAACTAATGGAAGACGTTAAGCCTCACCCATTCTCGGCCTCGTTCCTGAAACTTTTCGCCGATCCTGTCGTAATGGTTAGCTCTCTTCGCATGCTGAGAATGAGAAATACCGTACTCTCCGAGATCCTCAGTCTTGAACGCGCCAGAGCCCACACGAGTGGTGTAGGCCTTGACCACGCCAATGACCTCGCCTATCTTCCTGATATCAAGAGCAAGGCCAGTTACCATGCCACCGATGCTATTCCAAGTAAGTACAAATCCGTTGATTATCAGAGTGGTTGAGGGACGTCTGTCGCCTCTTGAATGTTACGAACCCTGTGGAACTGCTGGTCACGTATGGGTACTAGATAAAGTCAACAAATGCCCGCCCAGGGTCTGCCTTCTCATAAAGAGCGGCAGGAGTTGGACCGCTCCGATGAATTTGACTTACAGATCCCCAATCAAGATCCAGCATAAGAGCTAACAAGGTCAGGATATCTGGATAAGAGTAATGGTCTGAGGGGGTTTCTGGCCTACCATTTGCTCCCTCACAAAGGATCTTGGTGTTCTTCTCCTGTGCCTCCTTCATGAAAGCAATGGCGTCGACGGTATATTTGCGGAGCTTGGGTCGATACGTCTTGAATCGGTTGATTTCTTCCTCAACATCGTACTTGAGCAGGTCGCCATATCGCTTCTGGTAGCCTGATGCAAGTCGTCGGAGCTTCGACTCAAAAAGCTCCTCATTGAAGACCTCTGCGAGCCTGATACCGCTTCGCTAGATCTTGTTCAGTAAAGCTGCCCATACAACTACATCATTGAGGTCAGGTCCTTACCGCCGCTTTCGTGCTGTAAGCAGGGCCAATTCCGCGGCCTGTCGTTCCAACCTTGCGGTCTGAGCGATAAGAGTCAGCATATATAACTGATCCGTACTGATTATAGCTAATCACCTCCAAGTTCAACTTCTTCCAGGCCGTCAACGGCAACGTGGAGGTCCAGATCAATGTGAACTCTGTCGCTGATGAAGATTCGATCGTGGACGCTGCATATGGTTAGCATAATCTCTGGTATTTGAGAGAATGACTAGGCATATAATACTTTGAAAGTCCCTTTTGCTCGAGCTCTCCTAGTTCCTTGAAGAATGAAGGCTATTTGACGTATTAGTCAAGTCCTTGACTGTGTATCGAGTAATTTAGGGGTATGAACAATGTGAGCCACCACGGAAGAACCGATAAGGTTTCGACTTCAAGAAGCATCATTAGCAATATGTCCGCTGCAAATCACCACATCATAAATACGTACCAGTTGGGGTTGACCAGTCCAGAAGGCAGCAGGTGAAAGCTGGAATCTATATTGAGTACTTGCGCCGTAACAAAATGTCTGCCGGTTGCGCATACCTGTACGACACGCCATTGGCACTATTGAAGCTGTGGTCAGCAACCCAGGATCAAATAAGATATATAATGAGAAGAGTTTTCCTCTTACACAATGGAGTCTGGAGAAAGATTATTGATGATTAGTTATAATATTCAACCTTGAAAAGGCAAACTCACGGCCAGCATTATGACCGCCCTAGATCTCGTCTCAGCTTGTATTCTTGTTTCGGATGTCTTATATAGGTCGGTTCAGGACAAGGCTCACCGCAGCTCGCGCGCAAAGTTGCGCCTCGGGGGCAAGGATGTCGGTCAATTTTCCTTTCTGTCGAGTCGCCATTATCATTAGCAGTCGCATAGAAATAGTAGGAATGTGTAAGTGGTCGTACGCCTTCGTCGCCTAGAGAGTCGCAATCATGTTAGCACAGCCCAAGCAATGGCAGTCGCATAGAGACACAGAAAAAAGAGGCCACGAACCCCATTGGGCGCCCAGCTTTGGAGAACTTGATGTCAACTCGTATTCCGCATAGTGTACCGGGTTTCAGCAGCTTACAATGATGGTAGCCATGGCTGGTTCGGATTCTGTCTGCAGATTTCGCTGGTTTGCAAGATTCAAGATTTCAATTGACGCAGATGCTGAAGCGGCCATTTGAGTCACTGCAGCTTTCTTTTTAGTGGCGCCTTATCTTATCGCACCGCCGTGGCAGCAAAGCCCCGCCAACAAACATGAAATGATCGCCTCCGATCCCGCGGGTTCGGCCCCGCCATGTGATCAATATTTTGTCGGACTAAGCGGCACAGGGAGGTGGCCAGTCCTAGAAGGTATATTTAACTAGATATTTTTAAAGATTTTAATATTATTTAATTATATATTGTTCTTGTAACATTTTTATTAAATTTTTTTTTTAAAATATCATTAATATATCAAATATTCTTAACTTATAAATGATATATTTTAATAACCTTTCCTTACTGCGCCCCAGCAACTGGACAGACAACTCTAGTACCCCAGTTGATGAACCTTTTTTTCTCCATCAACGAATCGTAACAACATCCTGCCCTTTCTTGCTCGCAATCTCGCCGTCCACGCAGACTCCAATGACCCTGTACGGACTCAACGGATGATTCCGACAAATAAGCAGGTTGCCGCAGCTCTTCCTCGCCATCTTCTCCTCCTCCGACAGATCGTCCTGGTGCTTGTTGTCGTCGCCGCCGCCGTTGCGCTGCGTCTGCCTCGCATCCGGCCCAGTCTCGGCGTACCCGTAATCTCTCAACATGCCGTCAGTGGCATTATGGCTGAAGCCGTCCCTGACGAGCGCTCTGCCCGTGGGCCACGGCTTCTCGGGTCTCGGCAGGGGCTTGCTCTCCTTGTGGCTGCGGCACTGCGAGGCATGCCACTTGTGAGCGTCGATGTTGCCGCCAAAGGCCACGAGACGAAGGACGTTGTCGTGGTCCGAGTTCTCGAGCCACTTCTTCCCTAGCCCCCCGGGGTTGACCAGGCCGAGGCCGTCGCGCATGATGATGCGGTTGGCGCCGTCCTGCGTAGCCGATATCGTCCCCAGCGGGCTGCCGTACACAGCGGTGAGGCCCTCGAAGACGAAGGAGAAGGGCGCCTCGATGACGCAACCGCAGTTCACCTTGACGCGGCAGGAGATGTTCCGCGTGGAAGGGTTCTCGAGGCGAGATTGGTAGTGCGTGATGTGTCGCAGGCGGTAGTGCATCGACATGTTGTGGTGGCGTAGGTACTCGTACGATGAGTCCTCCCACTCGGTGCCGCTCACGCACCGGTCGATCCAGTTGAGCGGCCGAGCGCTGGGGTCGGTGAAGTCCCAGTAGGGCCGCAGCTTCTCGAGGAGGGTCTTGCGGAAGATTCGGAGGTCGTTGCCCGGGTCAAAGACACTCCCGAGCATGGTGGCGCACTGGACTAGATACCCGCCGGTCTCGTCGCCGGATACTTGGACCACCTGCTCGGAGTGATCAAGTATCGGTTCGGTCTTGAAGGTTCCTGTTTTGATCTTCTTGCCGCAGTTGCAGCCCCGGAAGTAAAAGTTGAAATCTGGCCGGCCATCTCCGGTTGATGGAACCCGATTTAGACTTATTTCCATGTACGCGCGTGGGCTGCCAATGAGGCCGGTCGTGGCATACACCTTGGCTAGACTTGTGTTTTGCTTAAGGATGCCGAGATTGATTACTCCAGAGAAGCAATCGGTGGTCGTGAACTGGTCGTCGCTCTTGTCATCGTTGCCGGTTCCATCTCTTTCCTCCCGTTCAAGTCTCTCCTCCTCCTCATCGCTCTTAAAGTCCTCCTCGTCCCCCATCCCGATGGGCCCGTGGTCAGTACTTGCAAATTCTTTCTTTTCAGGAATTGCATCTTCATACTCTGTGCCAAATGGAATCCAGCCCCAATCACGATCCTCCCCATTGCCGATGGCGAGCTTGGTCCATGCTTGGCCCGTTTTAATGGACAGCTGCTTGAAGAAGGCAAACGAGAGGGCGTCCAGGTTGGTGGTGGCCATATCCCGCTCAAACTCTGCCGGTGTAAACAAACCGCTAAATATACCCAAAAGCCCCGTGAAGGTGTCGGGCTTCCATGTCGCCTTTCGGGGGATGATGGAGATGGACGAGAACACGTTGGCGACGCCCTTGTGGTTTCTTTTCCACCACAAAGGGCCGCCGTTGATTATGTCGCCTCTTGCGGCGTTGATACCTTCCACCACCACCTGCAGGGTGCGGAGGATGTCATTGTCATAATTGATCAAGGTTAGGATCATGCTCTGGGTTGTGGTCTTGAGATGCCGAGAATCGGTGATCCAGTTGTACAGCTTGGACGCCTTGTCCATCGAGTCGGTCGCCAGGTCCATCCAGACACCCAACTCGCCTGCGCACGACAACGTGGTCTTGTCGACACTCCACAGTGTGGTGTTCTTACCCAGCAGCATCTCTTGGAACGTCCAGACGCGTCGAAAGTACACATTGTCGAACACGGCCTTGACTTGGTTGACACATGTGGAGTAGCAGTTGAGAACGCCCATGTCTATAGAAGCCGACTTGACAATGGATTTATCCATGGGAAAGGCCCAGGGCGCAGTATTAGCCCACTCAGACAGGCTGTCGACCATGTTTTGCGTCATTTTCGCTTCCGAGGTGATGGCCTCGCCGCTCGTTTGCGACATAACGTGGCCCACGAATCCGAGATTGGCGACCGTCTTCTGAGGGTCCCATACCTTGTCAATCTCGAGGAGTATATGGCACTTGCGAGCGCTCCTGTAGTACTCGTACATCTTGGGCACCTCGCGAGCCTTCTCAGCATCGTCAATCTGGTTGATACACACGCAATCCGCCCATAGATATTCAATCCCGTCTTGCACCATCAATTTCTTGAGATTCCGCAGCTTCTTCTTGGACAAGTACAAGGGCCAGGTCACTCCCTGGATTTTAGTTTTGAACGGCATCTTTCTCTTCAATCCCCACGTATACGAAGTTATGTCAAACGACTGCACTCTGGGTGCACCCGGGGCATTGGGCTCCACGACGGCAAAGCTTTGAGTGGCGGCATCGTAGCGGAGTAAGCGGAGGGGCAAGACGGATGCCATCGTGGGAGGAAATGAGTGCGAGTACGCAGTGGGGGAAAAGAAATTCGCGAAATTCAAGACGCGGGTAATTAAGACAGGTAATGAGAGGCCTACCTATTTGAAAATTTGTAAGCTGGTGGGAAACTGAACAGATGGAAAATAAAGACTGCCTGTCTCCCAGCCACTGAATTGCAGAACGAAGCGGCTGAGCCGTCCTACAGGATCGTGGCACTTCATGCATGTGCCAGGGTCATTTAACCGTAAGGATCAGTCTAACTTAGATGAAACTTCATATCGCGGTTATGTAATAGGATATCCCCGCCTCCTCGGATCAGACCCTTGCATGTCGCGCACATATACTATGTAGTAGGTCGTCTGCCTAGGCATAATCGCCCCCTTCTTCGTCCTCTCCTGATGCGACCTACATGTAGATAAGGGTCTGTACGGCTATCTCTCCTATACATAAAAGGACACCGTTTCGTACAAGTACACACAACCAAGACCACGAGCACGACAACCATCACCGCCACCACTACAATCAGCGCGCCTTTCGTCGAATGTTGCATTCGCATCCTGTTGAATGGGGCCTGCTTGAGTTCAATAGTAATTATGGAGTCCAATCTCAGTTCTTAGGTAGTTTATCCTCCTTACCCAGGAGAGGAGTTGTTGATATATATAAGACGTCACGTTATCTTTTGTAATTCATTAGTCTAGATTGTCCTCGAATCGCATCACCACAGGGCATCCCTCTTTCTCCATCTTTGAAAAGGAAGCACCATCCAGATCAACATCCCCAACGCATCAGAGTTTCCGCACCAACTGACCGCATCCGGCAACTTGCTGTACGCATGCTGATTGTTCCAAGTGTTCCTGAAACAACCCGCGTTATCCAACTCAAGCAGGTCTCCGACTGTTAGCACTTCGCGCGACGTCCGGCCTGAGAGGTACAGCTTCAGCTCTCGCCTCCAGGCTCTGTTGGTGCGGGCCTCCCACAAGTCGCGCTGACTTGGTAGAGGAGTGGCCCGGAAGTTTTTGTAGGGAGGGTTGGCCTGGGCTGCGTGAGGTGGGATTAGACCTTCGAACAGTAGCTCGACAAGGCCGAGCAAGGCGACTATCCTGAATATCTCGTTAGGACTTGAAATGTGTTTTTAAGTTGACACAGGGGTGTAGGTGTGATTACCGTCTCAAAGACTCTCTTAATACCCAATGTTGTCTTTCTGATGTTTCCATAGAGTCACTTGTATCCCAGTCAATGCTCTCGGTGAGACAAGTGAAGAGTTCCTGATTTATGTCAATGCAGCTCATAAGTATTGCTGGGCGGCAGATTGACTGTCTGGAAAGAGACTGGATGGAGTTCACGTACTATCATGAACAAGAGCAGAGCATTGGCGCCATTTCGTTCCGCCGTTTCGGGATCCTGAGCCTGCAAGAGGATATATATGATGACCGCCTGTAGGGCAGCAAGTTGGCCGTATGAGTCCAAGCCTTTATACTAGAGAAAGGTCAGTCTTGTAAGTCAAAAAAGAAAATCGGTATCAGTAAGCGTGGAGCAAGAGAATGATACCTCCTCATGTAATCTCTGTCCCTCCGAAGATATCGTCTGCCAGACGAAATCCGCGTTGGCATCTGTCCGCGAATAAAACATATCCACCAAGCTGGCGCAAATGGCAAGCCTCTTGGGCAAACATTGGTGTTTCCCCATCTCGCCACATTCTGGAGCAAGTCTCTCATCCATGTAGCAGGGCGCATGGATAAACGGAGGAAGACGGTCTCCTAGGACAAGCATCTTTGGATAGCCGGTAATTTGTCCCAGGACCATGTTGGTCAACATGCAGCCTTTTAGGATTGGGCGGCTTCGCAGGGACCCTTGGTTGGAGGGAGTCCGTACAGCTAGAGTGGACGCCGTGTGATCGCACGAGGTGGTGGTGCTCTCCGAACCGGATTCACCCAAGAGAAGTGAAGGGTCCCAGCATGAGATTGGAGCGGAACTATCAGGGGGGATTTCACAGGCAGATGTCCACGTCTCGATGATATTTTGCTCCGAGCAGTTGGACTCGGGCATCATTTGCAGGTCAAATTCGTCTTCGAGAGTGTCGAGACCAAAATCGCCGGTCCCAGATTCGAGATTTTTCGGATTCAAATGACCGGGTTCAAAACTATCGGTGACCATCCAGTTGGCGCTTACATTCTCATCACCGAGAGTTACAGCCGCACCAGGTGATACTACGTCGAAGATAGCCGGTGGGACTCCAAAATCACTGTGCTGATGTTCGAGAGCTTCAATGTCCACATTTTCCAGTCTGGGGACTTTGGAACGGCGCGAGTCCGAATATGGCGATACGTGAATATCGCGAATATCACATGCCAGATTGCGCTCAGCGCAGCGTGAACATGTCGGAGCTGCCCGGTTGCATCGTAATTTCGACTGCCTGCAGTGAGTGCAAGATTTTTGGCGAGGGAACGGCATGCCTAATTGTCCGCGGATATATGTTTAGCGAGGCACGTTAAACACGAGCTGAATCGACCCAAGATGCAACTAAAGAAAGTCCTCGGGGTTTTGAAGTTGTTGAACCTTGAAGCTTCAGTTTATGGCAACGGATGATTAGTAATGATCTTGCATTCCTAATGGGATCGCTGGTCCGTGAACTCGGCATCCAAGATGCTGGCGGAGAAGCGAGTCCGAATTCCTCGGAGTTCAAGTGGAGACCAGCCGCGGACTTTGTAGATCCTATTGCAGCCCCCGTATGCAGTGTCGATGGGCCTCTGAACAACAGTGATATTGGTGTAAACATATAGTTTGTGCATATATATGTGTGTATATAAACTCGAGAAAGCTCTGAATCAAGCAATAAAAGATCACCATTCATAGTACAACTCTCAGCTTCATATAAATTCGCACCCAGATCAAACTCGCAATGGCGCCTATCCGCATCTGCATCATCGGGCTCGCCGCCACCTCCAGCGCGGGTTACAAGACAGGCGAATGGGGAATTCAACATTTAAACTCTCTTAAACTCTCTCCCCACTATCAAGTTGTCGGTATTTGCAATTCCTCACTCGCCTCCTCTCAAAAGTCCATCGAGTCGCACAAACTTGGCCCCGATGTCAAGGCCTACGGCTCCCTCGATGAGGTTGTTAGTGATCCTGGCATTGACATGGTCTCCATCGTTGTCGCCATTGGCAAGCATTACGAATTGTTAAAGCCTGTGCTCCAGCAGAAGAAGAACGTTCTAGTGGAGTTTCCCATCGCGCCGACACTTGCAGAGGTTGAGGAGTTGGCTGCTCTGGCCAAGAGTGCTGGGGTCAAGGCCCTCAGTGGCTCACAGGGCCGTACTCATCCTGTATTCCGACGTATGAAGGACTTGATCAAGTCTGGCGCCATAGGCGACGTGGTGTTCTCTACCCTCAACGGCCATAACTCCCTTATAGCCGCGCTCATGTGGCCAGAGTCGCAGTCAATTCTTCTAAACATCGACTCTGGCATCAGCCGCTTGCATCTAGTTGTCGGGCACAGTGAGTTTTATCCAATCATTAGACATGAACGACAAGTAAAGAAGAATCGATGGCTAATATGACCCAGTTTTGGACACTCATTTGAGTATCCTCGGGGACTTCAAGGATATCCAGTCGACCTTCAAGATCCAAAACAAAAAGACCAAACTTGTGGATCACGAAGGCAACACCACCAAAGAGAATTTTGACATCACGGCTCCAGACACAATTCTTCTCCAAGGAGTCTTGGAAAGTGGTGCCGTAACATCAGTGACGATGCGCACGTCCACTGAACCAGTCGACAACACCGGCTTCCGATGGATCATTAGCGGGACTAAGGGCGAGTTTGAGTTGACTAGCGATCCTGGCATCTTCCACTGGGGACCTCCAGGTTTGAAACTGAAGTTGAGAGAATTTGGGGGAGAAGCAAAGGAGATTGACTTTAACTCGGGTGAACCGGAACATTTGAGTCAGGTGTCTTACATGGGACAAAATGTAGCGAGGCTATACGAGGCGTTCGCCAAGGGTGAAGAAGATGGATACGCCACCCTTGACGACGCATTGAAAGTTCACAAGGCCTTGGAAGAAGCCAAGCTTCATGCAGTCTGGGCATGAGTTAGACAAAGACCTGTATAAGCTCCTGTGCTTGGATAAAAGGCAGATAGCCCTATTTGAATTAGATAATACATAGGAAATCACCAGCCCGCGTTTCAAGTTGAAGACATTCTTCTTCAAAAGGCGCCGCCCTCGTAAGGCTTATCATACCGCGGCTCCCGCTCCGGACCATTGAGCTCAAGGCAGTCAATGTACGCGACCCATCCGTTGGTCGTGAACTCACCCAATTCAAATCCCTCCTGCGCCACATCGACGGTATACCCATTCACACTGAGATAGCACCCGGATCCGCTCTCCTCGTTCCAGCCCTCAGCCTTGGGCCGCCAGATGGTCCTCTTGCCCATCTTGCTCCCGTCCTTGTCCTTGACGCCCATCTCGTCCAGGTCCACCTCGGCCGTCTGCCCCTCGCCCTCGAAGATGAAGCACTTCCCGCCGCACGTCTTGCAGAAGGGCCAGTGAAAGCCTCCGGAGTTGCACCTGTAATCTGCAAGCTCGGCCATGGGATCCGGCGGGGAGAGCAGCATGAAGTCCTCGGGCGCCCAGGTCAGACGCATGTGGAAGTGGCCGGCCTTGTGGCAGGCCGTGCAGTTGCAGCGGTAGAACTCCTGGTGGGAGCGGGAGTCGGCGGGAGGGGGCGTGTCGGCTGAGAGCGGTTTGTGAGGGAGTGTGAGGAAGACGATGTACTTGATGGAACCGCAGTGACATGAGCCGCGGAATGGACGGCGTGCTGGTGTCGAGTCGCTCATCTTGCAGACGTGGTGAGGGATTAGTAGTTGGCTGATGTTGAGATGCGTTGTGAGGGATTGTTCACTAATAGTGAGGACAGGCTGTTGTCGTGTAAGGAGAATGATTGACTACCTGCCACGAAACTGGATCATCGCAATCTCTTATACCGATAATACGGCGTCACTTCTTCAATTCTTCGCAGATTTGGGGAGGCTTGTGCCATCCATGTCTATAGGGTGAGCCACTGAACGCCGCCGCATGCATCCCCGCAGCGTCAACCGTGAATGGGAGCACCGACTGACAAAAGCTTCCCCGTAAATCGATCGCCGGAGCTAATCTGTTGCTATAGATACTCGTAGGATCATGCAGTAAGGCGTTAAAAGTGAGTATAAACACGTTTTGAACCAACCGCGATACGGTGGCATTATTGCAAATGACTTTGACTAAACAATGAATTTTGTTCACTTTCGCTGACCATAACTTGGCTGATGCATGCTACTATACTTTTGCACCCTATCTGGCTTCAATGTTCTTCTTCACATCAGCCGAGATGGTAGGGACAGAATACTTGATGTGAAAATTCCCGAGCTCCTATACATTGATTGCCTTATCTACATGTATGCTTTGTTTATTGCACACCCGTGCGTAGAGTGACAGATGTTGCCGAAAGGGATCGTGGCCTGAATCTTGGATGGATACAGTCTGACCTGATTCTATGGCGGGCTACTTGAAGAGTGCAGCAAAGTTCTTTCGGCCATTCCATATTTGCAATGTTTTAAGCTTTGGTATATATGAGCAGCTGCCCTTACTGCTGCTCGAAGCATATTTGTAACCCGTATTGTATCTTGATCAGGCGCCATCGGGTGTGAGGTGAGAAATAGATACTACCCGGCATCTCCGCTCTGCATGATTTAGAACAGCAAGTATCAACTCCACATGGGCGATGTCGTATTGTTCCGTCGTTCCGTATGAGTGCTGGCTCGCATACATCTTGGTGCTGAGCAGTATGGTGCATGGTAAGGCTGGGCATTCGTTGTGTATTCCAATACCACCAAGATGTTATATTGCACTATATTCAAGAGCTTGTAGGCCAGAGGGGAAGCATCAGATCGCGCCTCTCTCTTTTCCTTTCTTTCATTCCCACAACAAATCGGCCAACCGATGGCAGTCTTCATCTTCTTCTTTGGCTACTAGCCACCCAACCCATTCTCTGGAATCCTGATTCGCTTAGGGGGATGCTATTTCCTGGAGACTCAGCAGTCGATAGGACCCCCTCTGGTCCTTCGGGAGGCGACACCTCCCGATAACATGACGGTCATCATTGTCTCCAGGTCGGCCCAAGGTCTTGTAGTCAAGCTGTTCAGTGCTTGTACTGCTACCCAACAAGGGCTAGACGAAATCCAATGGTTGGGATGGCTTGATACTGGCTTTCATCGTCAAATGAAACCATGCGTTTCATCTGCCATAAAAGTTGACATCTCACATTCAACACCCAAATCATACATTTTTTGACTCTTCTTCGTGTGATATTCCCCCCAGTATCCCACTATGCGTAGCTTCGTTGTGCTCAGAGGTGAATCATCATTGCCCGTGTCCCCCAGGTCTCAATTGTTGGTCATGTCGCTCTACCCCCACCCATAGAGCCTGTCGCCAACTGCAACCCATCTGTGAAGCTCGAGTGCAATCGATCACAATCTCTCCAAAACATTCCCTGCGAACAAAACATGCCGTCGAGTACGGGCGAAGTACGAGAGAGGGGGATGAAAAGAAGAGGAACGGGAGACCAATGCTGAGAGGGGAGAAGGAGGCGGTGGCTCTTTATGTAGAAGCGGGAAAAGAAAAGTTAAACTGAAATAAGATTAGATGAAGCCACGCATCAGACTTTGTGAGTTCTCTCGTAGTTTGCCATTTCATGTCCGCATCCTCATCCGCATCCGCATCCATTGTAGGAAAAGAAAGGGAAGCAGGCCATCTGCATGCAATATCAAGGGTGTGTGTGTGGTGTGTAAGCGGATTTGTCTCTAGGTACTAAGGTACAGGTACGAGGATTCCCTGCAGAGTTGACCACGGAAAATGATGTGGCTTGCACGGCCACGATACGCCGTATTCGGATTAGTGGCCACTTGGCGCCACATTTTTGGGGACGCAAAGTTTCTGCCCCACAGAGCGAAGGAAAAAAAAAAACTGGAAGCTCCAAAGTTCGCAGAACTAGAAAAAAAAATCATCACGACTGCAAGCGCGCCAACCTCGTTTCTCGTAATTGAGATCATCAGACGCTGCAATTTCCCCTCATTTCAGGATTTTGGCTATCTGGCTGCTTGATTCGGAAAGCAACTGCCCAAGATGGTTACGGAAGTCGTGAACAGGAAGAAGCAGGAGGAGGAGGAATACACCATCAAGCCTCAAGCGGTGACTCCCGCCGTCGACACCAGCCAGTGGCCGCTGCTTCTCAAGAACTATGACAAGCGTGAGTGAAGAATCTTGTTTGATGGTCTTTTTATGCTTGCGGGACGAGTTTTGGCTCTCAATTGGGTGCGGCGATGTACTCCAAGCAACGTTGGAGCGCAAGATGAAAAAACGACACACGCACCGAAACGAACCTTCTGTTGACCTTTCTTCTTCTTTCTAGTCCTTGTGCGAACTGGCCACTTCACCCCGATCCCCAATGGATCTGCGCCCCTGAAGCGCGATCTCAAATCCTACATCAGCTCTGGTGTCATCAACCTGGACAAGCCTTCGAACCCTTCCAGTCACGAGGTTGTGTCCTGGGTTAAGCGGATTCTTCGGTTCGTGGCGACCTGCAGTTTCTTTGTCGATTGGGATTCCATTCCAATCGCTCTCCTCACACTGTATCGTAGAGCTAACAATGAAATCGGTGCAGAGTTGAGAAGACTGGTCACAGTGGTACCCTGGATCCCAAGGTCACGGGCTGCCTGATCGTCTGTATCGACCGAGCGACTCGACTGGTCAAGTCCCAACAGGGGGCCGGAAAGGAGTATGTTGCCATCATCCGCCTTCACGATAAGCTGCCTGGTGGCGAGGCTCAATTCGCTCGTGCCCTCGAGACCCTTACCGGCGCCCTGTTCCAGCGCCCTCCTCTGATTTCTGCCGTCAAGCGTCAGCTCCGTATCCGAACCATCCACGAGAGCAAGCTGATTGAGTTTGACAATGACCGCCACTTGGGTGTCTTCTGGGTGAGCTGCGAGGCTGGTACCTACATCCGAACTCTGTGTGTGCACTTGGGTCTTTTGCTGGGTGTTGGCGCCCACATGCAGGAGCTTCGTCGTGTGCGATCCGGTGCCATGGACGAGACCAAGCACCTCGTCACCCTACACGATGTGCTCGATGCTCAGTGGACCATGGACAACACCCGGGATGAGACCTACCTGCGCAGAGTGATTGCGCCCCTCGAGACCCTCCTCACAGGCTACAAGCGTCTTGTTGTCAAGGATAGCGCCGTCAACGCCGTGTGCTACGGTGCCAAGCTTATGCTTCCTGGTCTCCTGCGTTATGGTTTGTACATGATTGAGAAAGCTTCAAATGCTGCATTATAACTTGAAGGACGTTTCGCTGACTGAAATTTTCTTCTCACAGAGTCTGGCATTGAGCACCACGAAGAGGTTGTCCTGATGACCACCAAGGGTGAGGCTATCGCCATTGGCATCGCTCAGATGTCTACGGTTGAAATGTCTACATGCGACCACGGAGTCGTGGCCAAGGTCAAGCGCTGCATCATGGAGCGTGACCTTTACCCCCGAAGATGGGGTCTCGGACCTGTCGCTCAGGAGAAGAAGAAACTCAAGGCGGACGGCAAGCTCGACAAGTTTGGCCGACCCAACGATGCCACCCCTTCCAAGTGGACTTCCGAGTACAAGGACTTTAGCGCGTCGGACACCTCTGCGGCTGCTGCTGCGGCTGCTCCCGCCACCACCTCGATTCCTGTCCTGCCTTCCAAGAGCGAGCAGGCTGATAGCAAGATGGACGATGCAGAGGCTCCCGCTGAGGAGGACAAGAAGAAGCGAAAGAAGCACGAGGGCGAGTCTGCCGAGGAGAAGGCAGAGCGGAAACGACGGAAGGCGGAGAAGAAGGCCGCCAAGGCAGCAAAGAAGGGGGGCAAGGGAGACGACGAGGACAGCGATTAAAAGAGGAAGAAAAGAATGTGTGGAGTCAAGACTGAGGATTCTTTTTCAGTGTAAAGTATCCTGGCGTGGGAGTCTTTTGTCGATATGGAAATGGTCGCCTTGTACCTTTCTCTTTTCTAGTTACCCACATGTGGCTCTTGGGCAATTGGCGTTATCAGGTATCAATTCGTACACATGTTTATTACTACCGTGATGCGTCAGTATCGCCGCGTGTGATTAGATTGGACTGAGGTTGCAGTCTAAGGGATGATATCTTGGTCTACCTACCTAGGTAATGGTTTCTTCTCGGCCAGAAGTGAATGATATCATACTCCCACCTGCAAACAGAAACTATTGAATTACTCACCTGCAAGTCTGTCCAATCGAATCCAGTTGCGCATTCCCAAAAGTCTTGGTACCTGAATTGGAAGGCGGCATTGGGCGCCAACTCACGTGGAGCTTGCAGTTAAGCGCCGACACTTTCTGGGTCCGTCATCACACAATGAGACGCTGCATCTTTTTGCATCTCCCGCTTTTTTTTTTTGTGATTTTTGTTTCTCACTAGCATTTTGCGTCTTTCGATTCGCTAGGCGCTCGCTCGCTGGAGAAAGCACTAGTTTGCGAGATGGTGCTTCTGATTGGGCCGGAGTGACGAGATGAACGGCTTCTGCGGACAAGGGCTTGTTCGCTGGGGTTCTTTCTTTAGCTCCCGCATCGTGTGCCTGAGCCTGTTCTGTGATGGGACATGGATTGGTTTGATGATGACCTTCGCTTTCACGTGGAGGTGCCCGATGCGATGGCCGGTGATGCGATGGGCAGGGATGCAAGGAGGGACCGAGAAACGGTGTGACGACCAAATGCCGGCTGAAGAGTCAAGGGAGAAGAAGAAGAAGAGCAAGCGGTACATCACATCACGAGTCCGGCACAGCACAAGCGCCTGACGGCAGAGCGACAGACGGACCGGCTTATGGGTGTGTGATGGGAGCTGAGCCCGTTAGCGAGGGGGGTCGAGACGGGCGGCAAGCAGATGCGAAGCGATCATGTTGCCGCCGTCACGATAGTCTCGTCACCGGCGCCTTGGGATCAACAAGCTTAAGCAGCCACAGATCACGCACGATACGATGCCGGGCGGCCAGGATCTTATTATAAGCCGTTCGTGTGCGCCCCTCGCCGCCTCGTGTCGAATCACTTGTGCATTTCGGTCGTTGCTCTCGTTTCTTTGCTCTACCCGCAGTTTTCCTGCTTGCTTGCGTTTCTCTTGTCTTGTATATTTTCCCTTTACGGTTGGTGTTAACGGCCTTGCTGCAGTCTGGATACTGCTGCATCTGATAGGGGTGTACTGTCTTACCTTTGGAACCACGGCTGAGACTTTAATATACCACTCTTAAAGGACGTGCATCGACCTCTTTTACAGCATTTGCTTCCTCGACATTCGCTCCTTTGCATCACACGCCAGCTGTGTGACTTCCTTCGTTTACAATCCTGAACCTGTCATTCTCTCTCGTTCGCTTCGGTTTACTAGGATCGCTCAACCTTGGGGGGGAAAAAACAAGGATGGCTCACACGTCAATGGCTCGTTGGATCTTCTCCATATCTCTCACGGCTGTTTCATTGGTGCATGCTCTGAGAGTTGCACCAAATTCGCCATGCACAAGTGCTTGCACTACCTCCGACGGGTCGCAATCGGATCCGAAGTTCTTCGACGACCAGTGGAAAGACATTGTCTGCAGTGACGACGACTTTGACAACAAGTCGGAGGGGAAAAAGCTGAAGAGCTGCTTCACATGCTTGCAGAATAGCAATTACACCCACGGCACTGAGAATGACCAGGATTGGTTCCTGTGTAAGTCTTTGTGGTGACAATCCCCTCTAGTCGCTGTCGGCTCACATATTGCAAAGACAACCTGCGGTATTCGTCCAGCTATTGCATGTTTGGCTATCCCAACAACACCGGCATCGAAACAGGCCCTTGCACGACAACTGCAGGATGCGGAAACCTCGCTTCTGCCCTCGAGCTTGACATCAAGAATCCAACCAACTCGACCACCTACGACTATTGCGATGCAAGCGGAGGCGTCGTCACCAGCAACAATGTCGAGGGGTGTCTGGAGTGTGTCAAGGCAGATGGACAGCACAACTATCTATCCAATTGTATGTCCTATACGTCCATCTTTTCCGCCGCCCTCGCTTTACTGACCCCTCTGTCTTCTAGTTCTCCTGACTCTACAAGGAGCATGCCAGACAAAACCCGCGCCAGGGTCCATTTTAATTCTAAACAATACCATCTTTGGTAATGACAACATCCAAGTCGTCGATCAAACACCTGCTACCAACTACGAGGAACCCAAACTTTCCAGCTCGGCAATTGTGGGCATAGCAGTTGGTGGAGCAGTCCTACTTGCGTTGGTCGCAGGGTTCACTTACATGTGCATCCGTAAGCGCAAGAATCGTGCAAAACAAGAAGACCGCGCCTCTGGCTACTCTTTCCGCTGCCAAACCAGAGTCACCCCAGTGACACCAAGATTTCCCGAGAACACCCATGCCGACGACAATTTCCATGGACAAGAGAAGGCACACGTTAAGGTTACCACTGGTATTGGGGCAGATGCTTATCCTGTGGATCAATACCCTTGGAATAGCCAAAGCTCACTAAACGTCACCATCAGCCGACAGGATAGTGCAGTCATGAGGCCCAGCATCATCACTGCTTTGACTCCACCCACTCAAGCACACATGTCTCCTCGGCCTTACTCTCCCGACGACTTCGCGACCCCGGCTTCTGCTGTATCGACCCGCTCCAACGCCCCTCTTCTCAGCCACCAACCTTCTGGATTCAAGCCTTCTCCTCACTTGGGACAGTCCAGCTGGTCACCGACCCCGAAGCCGTACCGTCCCGACAGAAGATGGGAGGAAGAAACCGGAGTGACTAATGCGCTGGGCCTGATTACCCGGAAGAGAAGCAAGACAAACATGGGAAGTCCCGTACAGAGCGAGATCCTTATAACATCGTTTCCACCGCCACCTACGAATACGCGGTGAAATGAGGGTGGTCAATAATTATGATATGGACTTAAGTACTGGAGCGATTTTGTTTGGAAGTAGCTTGGGATTCTCTTCTATTTGGTAGATATGATACACGATGCTTCAATGTAGCGGAACAGCTGGACTGATGCTTGAATTAATGAAACGATTTATGACAAGTGCGCTTGAAAAATATTTTGATAATTCTAATGGAAGATGCCATGAATATTGGCCACATTAAGCCACTTGGCGTCGGCTCTATGCCCCAGATACAATTTGAATAAAGCTTTTTACCTCAAATCACCCCGCAAATAACGTTGAGCCCCCTCTCTATTTTGTTATCTGAGGATGAAACTTTGATACCGTTTAATCTAGCAGTACACGAGCACATAGTCAGTCACACTATTATCTTATATCTAATAGCATTGATGCCCTTTCAAAGCAGATACTTTATCTGCAACTTTCATTATCATACGTAGCTGGCGAGGTGTCTCTTGAAACTCAATCTCCACATTCTTCTGTGTTCCAGAACTTAGATCTCATACCAAGCTCCAACCCAACAACGATATACATTATCAGTATTAAGGTTCAGCCATCACGATGGCTTCATGAGGAGATGAGTTATCTCCGCAAAGTTGACTGAAAAAGTAAAGATTTGGCTTTGTCTGACTTTTCACGAATTTCGATCGAAGTTCGATCTGTCTATATAATTCCTTCTTCCCCCCCGACCTTTTCTCTTTTCTTTTCCTTCCTTAACCATCATTTTTGGCAGTTTTCTGTTTTTACCACCGCTGCTATTCTTTGGTGATCTGCCAACATCTTCACAAAAAAAGCACAAGAAGCACTCACACAAGAACATACTCATACACAAACATACTCAAACAAACACATACTCATACAAACACATACTCATACAAAAACACTATCACGCAAAAGCACACCAGTGCTCACGCAAAACCACATTCACACAAAAGCACACTCAGTGCTCACGCAAAAACACACACAAACAAAAGCACACTCAGTGCTCACGCAAAACCACACTCACACAAAAACAAAAAAAAAAACCACATTCACACGAAAACCAAAAAAACCACTCTCATACGAGAACCAAAAAAAAAAGAAATCATTCACACAAAAACCACAAAAAAACTCAGAAAATCAAACACGCCGACACGAACATCATCACAACCGCAAAAATGGGCATCTTCAGACCTATCGCCAAGCTCGAGAACAAGTACGAAGCATGGCGCTTCCGAAATCTCAAATACACTCCGCTGGATAGAGTCCCATGCGAGCCTGAATGGTGGGAGCTGGTTATGGCGAGAGAGAAGAGAAACCGCAAGGCAGAGCGCAAAGCCGCCAAGGAAGCTCGCAAGGCTGAGAAGGAAGAACGCAAGGCTGCTAGAGAGCAACGTCGGAGGGAGCGACTGCAGAATGGAGAGTTTGACTGGAGGAATTACATTCCGAGGTTTCCCAAGGTGGTTGGGTATACTCCGCTGTGGAAGATTGATGAGATGCTTGCTTCGGGGAAAGGAGTGCGCTGGGAGTAAGGGATTGGGAAGGAGGAATTTTGGTGGTTTTGGGTTGGGAGTTTGGGAGTGAGGATTGATTGAATTATCCTTCTTTTGTATTATTACGAATTATCCTATAGCTGCATTTTTTTTGACTAGCATTATACATACACAATTCAAACACATGGTTATGGCTTCACATAGTATCAGACATTAGAAAAGGGGCAGCCAGAGTAAGCGGTAGCAGCAGCGGCAATACTCGTTCGATGCCTAATAAACTGCAAAGGTCTACTCATTCTCTGTAGCAAATTAGTAACCCAGATTTAATATCCCATGTTTTGTTTATCTGACCGATTCTGACGAAAGAGGAAACAGGCCACGGTGTCTCTACCCCCAAAACAAATGCGATCTACAATGATCGATAAGGGCACTGCGGCAATGGCAAAAGTTGATTACGCATAGAATACACACTAGAAGTTTGTACGACGGGGCGCAAGATAAACTCTTGACTGTAATGTGAATCTAACGATCGTGGGTGGAAGTGGAGAGACCCAAAGAATATACGCCTAGCAGTGACTCAACGACCGGATATTGGGGATGACTCACTGTGTGGCGTGTATTCGCCGTTAAAATTGTGTGTTGAGATATCCTCTCTTATCATTCAGTTGCTACAGTACCACCAAAACACTAAAAGTACTAGGTTTGAATAACCCAGCCATCATTCGTATTCAACCTCCAAGATAAAAACGCTGGACTGCAACTCTATCAACAAATCGTTCCATATCATGCCGTTATCTTTCCTACCCTGAATGCTGTAAACAGGCTCAATGGCTAAAGCTATAGAAAACAGGAAAAACAAAACAAAAAAAGACACGCTTGCCATATGCCCCTACCGCCCTGCTTTTTTTTTTTTTTTTTTAAAAAAAAAAAGAAAAAAGGCACATGAAAATGACAAACACTGAGAAAAAGAAGGCCTCTCAAAGTATAAACATCACCTGGGGATGAAACGCGAGAACGTAAAGAAAAAAACCGACGCGAATTTGTGCAAGACGATGCCGCAACTTCTTTAAATTCGACTGGAGCAACAAGAGACAGTCCTCCATCCGACAATCCAATTCGTGGGTATCCGAGAATTCGTGCCGGTCCTCTCTGTCCCTCGTTCGTGCGCGCAGAAACAAAATGAAATAAGCCAAAAGCCAATGACGCCCAACCAAGAATGACGGCTCGCAAAGCTCAAGAAACGTTGGATGAGAAATGTTTTTTTAAAACAAAGTAATGATGAGGAGAGGAAGGAAAAAAAGTCCTTTATTACCATAAATGAATCCCTCAAGTTCTGATGAATCTCTGACAACCAAGTCCCCCAAAAATATCAATTCCCTCCCTTCCAACGCCGATGTTTTTTTCATATGATGCTTTCGTCCAGAGGTGTGCCCCCTCTGCTCAATATGTCGCTTTGCAGCTTTCCGTTTTGTGATTTGAACCACGTTGTACCCTCCTCCATCTCCTGACGCATTGTCCTAAGTTCTTGTATTAAAATATCCGCGTCGCTCATGACGCGTTTGTGTGAATCCGTATCTTCGACTTGCTCTTTGGCCGTCTCCCCTGCATCTTCCGCAGGTCGCTTCCTCTTGTTGTTGATGGTCAACGGGCTGTCTAGAAAGGGGTCTTCTTGAGAGGATGTGAATGCCATGGGGCTTTGTGGCCGCACTGCTGCCGCTGCTATCGTCGATGCGGCGCTGGTGATTGACGCCCGCCGGATTAATGTACTCTCTCTAAGGCTTGCACTTCCCCTAAGGCTCGCACTTCCTCTAAAGCTTGTACTTCCTCTAAAACCTGTATCCTTCTTGAGACCGCGTTTGATATCGTCCACCATGGATTCCGGCAAGGCAGTCCCGTCAGGCATCTGTACGATGCCCATAGCTTTTAATCGCCAGCGCTCAGAGACTTTGCTTACGCGTGATTTTTCTGGTGGTGAGCTACCTGCTGATACAGAAGGCAGAGAACGCTGGAACCGCCCAGGCTTTTCTCCTAAAAGTCGTTCGCGCAAAGCCCGTGTTTTCGAACCACCTTCCGTGCTTGCGATCGACCCAGACCGAGATCGAATCCCTTGGCTCCCATTAATCGACGACGGGGTAGGCGACAGTCGGTAATCGTTGCGGAAGATTGCCGAGACAGCTCTCCTCTCGTTTGTCACGCCGGACAAGACGCCGGACGCAAGCAGTGCTTCTTCTGCTTTCCTCTTGCTCTGTCGGTTTTTCTTGAGTATTGTTGCTAGCTCATCAGGGCGATTGAGAGTAGCCAGTTCTGCCTTTTGGCTGGCAATCCGTTGACTAGCCTCCTGCTCTTCCTTGAGCTGTGCTGCTCTCTGAGCTTCGCGAAACGCGCGGAATTGGTCGCGTCCGCTCCGACGGAGTTGCCTCAGACGCCTCTCCCGAGCAGTTTTCTTCCACCGGTAGAAATATTTCAGAGAGAGGTTATATATCCGGAATCTCTTAGCTTCCGCTTCGTCTTGCTCCTCTTTCTCTCTCGCCATTCTCTCCTTCTCATCCTTTTGAAATTTGTCAAAAGTTTCTTGGACGATGCTTTCTACCATGAAAATCTCAAATTCCTTCATCAGCCCCTTGTCTCCATTCACAAACCACCTTGTGAAGTCGCCTAGCAGATCGCGTGGTGAAGTCACTGGTCTTGGAGGTGGAGGGGACAGTGGGGTAGTAGAAAAGAAGGCGCTGCGAGGAGGAGAGGAGGTAGGAGTAGTACTGGCAGCCGGTTCAAATTTGCGACTAGATGTTGGAGAACCAAGTCCTGGGAACCCGGAAGAGAAACTCTGCAAGGTACCAGGACGCGAGAGAGCTGGTTCTTCGGTTTTTTTAGGCTCTAGTCCCAGTAGAGAGTTAGAAAACGGTGTGGCAGATATTCCACCTTTGGGCACTTCTTTGTCAGGTACGCCTGATAGCAAGAAGTCAAGGCTGTCATTCGTTGGCGGGAATGGCGATGGCTTATTGTCCGTAGTTGACGGGGACTGGCTCTGCGTGGCTAACAACGAATTTGAGCCTAGATCAGAGGATAATATGCTGTTACTCGTTGTTCCCGTCAAGTTTGAGAAAGGCGTGATTGCTGGCACCCCTGCAGAGCCTGTCGGTTTGCTCGTGTTCGCCGGAGGAAAAGCTGGCGATGGAGAAGCAAAAAAGCTGGGTTTAGGCTGGGTTATCTCTCCCTTAGCTGTATCTGCAGCTGGGGGGAATATAGGTGCTTTATTCCCCCCAAATGGCCCCGACAAGGCAGGTTTTTGCTCTCCGAGTGTAGCAAAAGAAATCTTGGGTGGGGGGGCAATTCCATTCACAGCCGCTGGCGGAGAAAATGACGGGAAACCGCCTAGACTTGCAGATGGCTGAGTTTGCGGTTGAGATGGTGGCTTGCTTTGGAAACCCGAAAACTTTGGGGAAGGGGTTGGCGCTGTTTGTGCAAAAGGATTAACAGCTGTGCCTCCACCCAAGATTGATGGCAGTGCGGGTGGATTCTGAGAAGCGTTGCTTGACGTGATTGCGGATGCAAAAGGGTTAGCTGCCGTAGGTGCATTGCTAGAAGGAAAAGCAGGTGCAGTAGAACCCAAAGTCGGCTTGCTGCCAAAAGGCGTCGAAGCAGACGCAAAGGGGTTCGAAAATGGAGTAGATTTTTGTACATCAGGTGCTCCAAATATGCTGACTGGTTGCTCTGAAGCTAAAACGGTATTAGTGAACTGGAATGAACACGAATGATGTGCGAGATAAATGCTGATGTTCTTGTATCTGGTGAGGGAAGAAATCTCTACCTTTCTGTGTGCCGAGGAGGTTGCTTCCAAACCCACTTAAAGCTAGGCCGGACGCAGGAAGAGACGTGGAATTTTGTGGTTGCATCGGCGGGGATTCGGCTGGTGTTACTGGTGCTGTGTCTGGCATAAAAAGAGATCCTTCTTGTGTAGAGAAGCTGCCGACTCCTGATTGGAAAGACGCGGTCGAGTCTTCGTAGATTGTTTTGTGGATAACATCTGGCAAGGGCCGATTCCGCCGCTTCTTTTCCACGAGCGTCTGTGAGAATTGATGGTGAAGACGGGGGTGCCGAAGCGGCTCTTTGTTATTCAAAATCAGGCATTGTTGTTTAGGGTCCATAGGTGCCTGTTTATCTGGGACGAATTCGATGCCATGAAGTTTCGCAAAGTCGATGGCTTCTTGAACTGTATCGAATCGAAGAAACTTGTTCAAAGCGGCAGCCGTCAAGTCGTTTGTCGGATCTTTGGGCCGGGCTAATGCTCGCTTCACAGCCCGTAAAATTGACCGGCGAAGCTGGGGAAAGTGACACTCCGCAAAACAGGCCATGGTATATGAGACACTGGGGTCCTCGACAATTCGAAAGAATGAGTGGAAAGCATTCGACGCTGCTAAAAACGGGGCTGCCTTTAATGGGCCATGGAAATCGGCGGTGTTTTGCAAGGCTTCAACGAGTGATACTGCGGTCCTTATATCGTCTGAATCCCTCCAGAAGTGTGGCTTCCATTGCCGCTGCAGCATCTCAACCGTATTTGAATCGTGAGCATGGAAAAGCAGATAGTACGCGCGGAATTCAGCTTCGTTTTCACACGTAATGCCCTGAGCGTTGCAGTCATCATACAGATCTCGGAGAGAAAGTAGAGCTTTGCCAAGTTGCTCGAGTTCCTGCTGTTCGACAAAGTCTTCGCCAGCCTTTCCTGGCTGTGACAAAAGATGCAGTGCCGTGACATGAAACCTCGCAATATTTTCCAGTACATATGCTTGCGTTTTCAAATCGTCGGCCGTAGGAGAGGAGAAAAAGGTAAAATCTCGCCGGATAGCTCGCGTTCGATCCCACAGAAATCCGTGTAAACCAGGCAAGTTTTCGTCGTCGCGAAGTAGGTCGTCAATCAGATAATCCAGAGTGCGTCGTAGGGCAGCCGTAGAGCGGACGTCCATCGGGAGAGGAGCTTCCTGTCCAGCGGCTGAACGCGCCAGCTTCTTGACCATTCGACTCGTCTTGGGAAAGCCTGTTCGTGCAACTTTTTCGGGTTGGGGAACATCCAATTCGGTGATTCGCGTAATCTTCTCGTACTCGGAGCACATATCCTCGCAAATACCTCGAAAGGTGATGGCGTTTTCCAGCGTCTTTCGTTTGTCCGGGTCGTCGATAAGAGAAGCTTTGGTGAGAGACGCGCGCACTTTCTGTCGATATCCTTCGTACTTTTCTCTAAACTTGGCCATCTCTGTCTTGCTCTTTGGATCTCCAGGCTGGGAAGGCCAAGATGGAGGACTGATGCCATCCTTCCGCAGCCGGTCGTATACCTTCTTCGCATACGGGTCGGTAGCACGCATAGCTGCATTGTCGAGCGTTTCGTCGATGGAGCTCGCACTCGAAGACGAACTAGGGCGTGATGTGCTGTCGTCCTCGGCGCTTGTGGCAGCCTGCACACCGTTGCCGCGGCCATCGGTCTTCTGCTGCTGTCCTTTTGTACCACCGCGTGCCTTTTTGGAATTCTTCTTGATTTCTGCCGGCTTCTTCTCTCCATCTCCACCTCGCTTCTTCCATTGCCTCCCGCTGTCGCTCAGGCTCCCATCCTTGCCTTTGAAGGGATTGTTGACGTTGAGCTTCTTCTCCGCATCGCTGTCTCCGGCGAGTCCATTCTTCCGCTTACTCTTCTTGAGCGAGTTGGACCCCCCTGCACCATCACTGCCAAATGATGTTCCTTCACCGGTCTGCTTCGGAGCAAAAGGATTGAAAGCCTGCGACGAGCCCTGCGTCTTCTGGCTGAATGGGGAAAACATTTGGCCCGATGATGCAACGGACGTCGCATTCATCTATGTGATGATTTGCGCATGGAGGAGGAGTGTTGGGCGTGACTTTTCGAAGGTTGTTGGAAAAGGCCGTGTCGCAGGATATTGGCTGATGCGCGATGCCAAAGCTAGCCGTACCTTTGATTGAGCTTCGCGGTAGGAGGCTGGCCATCACGTGACGCCTCCCATCTACATGATACCGACGACTTGACTCTTTCCCTCATACTTTAACCAGTGTCACACGTCTCTTACTTTTCTAGCTGTCCTTTTAGAATAATTTTATTTTATTCTCACAAAGAAAGAATATCCCTTATATAATTCGCTAGCTCTTAAACTTTTTCCCTTTCATTACGACGCCAGTCTTCCTATTCCCATATCATGACTTCACGCGGCCTCGGATACGCGGAGGTCCCAGTTCTCGCCGAATCTCATCAAGCTGCTCCAGTCCTGTCTGTGCTTTTGACTTCTTGGATGTTCGCTTTCCAGGCCTTGTGTAAGATCCGAGGAAGTCATCCAGGATATTATCGAAATCTCCGCGCATGGGTCCTTGGACGCTAGAGGTCGTCGAAACCTCTGATACGGATCCCATATCATCAAAGTCTTCGTTGTAGCGAGCCTCCAGCTTCTCAAACCTCTCATCTAGCAATGAGAGCTGCTCTGTTCGCACGAGTGACGAGGACGTCATAGAGTATGCAGAGGCGTTTGTCAGGGCGCCCTTTCGCTTCTTAGTCCTGCCTCCGTTTGTGGTTGTTGTCCACATAGACTCAACTCCAGATCGGGATGGAGCTGTAGGCCCACGTGGGCCTTTCTGATCTTTCTTGAACTTCTTAAAGTCTTCCATCCAATCCTCTGACGGCCCATGTTCCGGCTGTTCTGTCTGCTCTGGTTGGACCTTTACCAGTTCCGGTACTTGCTCTTTGTATTCTTTTGTAGGCTTTGCCGTGGCATCCGATTCCCATCCATCCTCATCTCCATCATCGAATCCCATATTTTCAAAGTCGTAGTCCTCGAGCTCCTCTCCGTCTTTTGACAGCTCCTTGAAGATATCTTCGTCATCATCGACGTAGGCGTCATCTTCCAAAGCCTCCAAGACCTCACGCAGCCGAGGGTCCATATCAGGATTGAATCCAGCGATAACATCTGGCACATCCTGCTGGGCCTGGTAGGTCAGTCGTGTGAGATTCTTGGATGGTAGGATATCCTCGTCCAAAAGATCACCCGACTTTTGCTCAAGATCCATCTTTTGCAGAGCCTCTTCCAATGACTGCTTCTGTTTTCCCTTGCCCTTGTTCTGAGTCGCGCTTGATTCAACAAAGACAACGTTTCCGCCACCCGAATTGAGGTCTCTCAAATGTTGCATGTAGTCGTACTCGGTATCGTCGAAGTAGACGCCATAGCTTGCTGCTTCACCTTCGTTGGCGCGGATTTCGCCTGCGTCAGATCCGAATTCGGAAGCCAGATCATCCAGGTGCTTTACTTTTGATCCGGATTTTGTCTGAACGGGGTTCAGCACCATGGATGGCGCATTCTCGTCGTGGATGAGCGGATCATTCTGCGGACGGTGGACGAGCGTAAAGTGCTGCGCCGTCTTCTTATTACTAAATTCCGAGCATTAACAATGTCCAAACAGACAGAAGTATACACAGCAATAGCATCAACTCACATCCACTTTCCCTTGGGCATTTTGGCGGTGTTGCGATTGCGCTGAATCAAATGAGCATGGACAGAAGTGGGCTTGTTAACCTACCGCAGGCATTCAAAGAAATTTCTTGGTAGCGCCAGTACAGTTCGGTTGTTGATAGTACTGTATGCATTTGTGCGCATGGCCTTCAAAATACAGTGCGAAAATATTTTCCATATGGCTATCCAAAAAATTTGCCCCTCCATTATGATGTATTATTCAGCCCGCAAAACCTGGGCATGCGACCTTCACACAACAAAATATTCATCCTCGTCCTCCCCCTGCGATCCGAGGACATTCGCATTAGCCAGGCATAAAGTCTGAGACTGTTGGAATCGCATTTGACATCCTCGGCGATCGAGGACAGCCGCAAAGATGGTGTTGGCAAAGTCGAAAAAGAATGAGGGGCTGGGCAATACCCTGATGAACGATCGCTTCGGAAAGGGCAAAGGCACCGACCACAGGAAGACGTCTGCCACTATGCGAACGAACCACACGACGGGCGAACAATATCTCGTAAACGACAAGAAGGATGCCGCTTGGGTCAAGATGCGCTCCGTTACGGAGCAGGGCGCGCTGGACGAGTTCCTGGCCACTGCCGAGCTGGCCGGCACTGACTTTACGGCCGAGAAGATGAACAATGTCAAGATCATCCACACCGACCAGAAGAATCCCTATCTGCTATCTGCCACTGAAGAGAGAGCCATCCTTGGCAAGCATCGACAGCACAGAAACCGGCTGACGGTTCCGCGAAGACCTCACTGGGATGCGTCGACCACGCGGGAGGAGCTCGACCAACGTGAGCGAGAGGCTCTTGTCTCATGGCGAAGAGGTCTGGCCGAGCTGCAAGAGAACAACGATCTGCTCATGACGCCGTTTGAACGAAATATCGAGGTTTGGAGACAGCTGTGGAGAGTCATTGAGAGATCAGATCTCATTGTGCAGATTGTGGATGCAAGAAACCCCTTGCTCTTCCGATCCGAAGATTTAGAATCATACGTCAAGGCCGTTGATCCCAAGAAGGAGAACTTGCTTCTGATCAACAAGGCCGACATGATGACTATTAAGCAGCGCAAGGCATGGGGCAAGCACCTGAGAGAAGCAGGCATCGCATACAAATTCTTTTCTGCACAGCTTGCAAAGGAATTGATTGAGGCAAGAGAGGGCTCAGACTACGAATCGGAGGACGATGAACCATCTTCTTCATCAAAGCAGGTTGAGAAGGATGAGGAGAGTGGAGACGAGGCAGAGGCGGCAGAGGGCTCGGGAAGCAAAGCGCCAGAGGATGAAGATACTCAGATTCTCACAGTGGAAGAGTTGGAAGAGATTTTCCTAAAATATGCTCCAACCGATAGAGGTAAGTTTTGTTGGTAATAAGAAGCATCATGTTGCGATTCTAACTCCTGGGACAGAGGCGGATCACAAACTCCAAGTCGGATTAGTCGGCTACCCTAACGTGGGTAAATCATCAACCATCAACGCCCTCATCGGAGCGAAAAAGGTCTCCGTCTCTTCAACGCCAGGAAAGACCAAGCACTTCCAGACCATTCACCTCAGTGAGCGGGTCATTCTGTGCGATTGCCCCGGTCTCGTGTTCCCCAACTTCGCCACCACAAAGGCCGATCTCGTCACGCAAGGCGTGCTGCCCATCGACCAGATGCGCGAGCACTCTGGACCCGTAGGCTTGGTCGCTCAGAGGATTCCTCAGCCGTTCCTGGAAGCCATTTACGGCATCAAAATCTTGACTAGGCCTGTCGAAGAAGGAGGCACTGGTGTTCCGACCGCTGAGGAGCTGCTGCGTGCTTACGCCACTGCTCGAGGTTTCCAGACCCAGGGTCTCGGTCAGCCAGACGAGGCGCGAGCTTCCAGATATATCCTGAAAGACTACGTCAACGGAAAGCTTCTCTTCGTTCACCCTCCCCCAGGTATCGAGGACGAAAAGGAGTTCAATGCCGAGTTGTACGACGAAGCGCATCTGCCCGAGCGCCGCCGTGCTGGTTTCATCGCCGCCACAGAGGCCCTCCACCTCGGTGATGACGAGAGCCTGGCCTCCGAGTTCGTCGGCCTCCCCCAGGGCCCCAAGTCCAAGAGGCTCGATAAGAGCTTCTTCACGCCAAAGAACATCCACGGGCACGTCAACATGCCCTTCAGCTACAAGTACACAGAACAAGGCAGCGCGTCCGGCAGCACTGCTGGCGGCACCAAGGCGCTTAGCGGACGCAAGGCTCGTGCGGCGATTGCCTTGGAGACCGGCGTGGATCCCAAGGATGTGCAGCTTGGGTCCGGGAAGAAGCATTTCAAGAAGGGCGCGCCAAATGGCATGGGCAGGAAGGCAAGGAGGGGAGCACCAAACTTTGCTGATGACTAGATAACTCATTTTCTTTGGAATTTTTAAAGATGCGAATGGAACTGGTAAAAGTCTCTTGTTATGACTCTTTGTGTCGGAGATTTGGCACTACATGCATGGAACATCATTGAATGCGGATGGAGATGGAATGAATATGATTTCGAATTTTTTATGTAAACCCACAAATGTGACCAGAATATCCACAATTGCTCATCCCATAAGAAACAGTTTAAAAAAAAAGAAAATAGAGAAACAAAGAGAAACGTCCCAACAGATTCTCCCCTTTCACCTGTCCCAAACAGGTCTCTTCTTTACCATGCTATTAACAGTGTATATTTCGCTCTTTCAAGTCCACTTTTTTTTAATCCTCTTCACTTCTTCTCCTGAGCCTTGGGTTTCTTCTCCTGATTCTTAGGCTTCTTCTCCTCATTCTTAGGCTTCTTCTCCTCATTCTTGGGCTTCTTCAAAGACTTGGGATCCAAACCTCTCCTCCTCATGGCGTTCTTCTTAGCCTTCTCCATATACTTGACATCCTCATCGTCATCGAAAGCGCTAAAGTCGCCCTTTCCAGTCTCCTTAGCTTTGACCTTCTTACCAGCCTTCTTCTCCTCGACCTCAGTGTCATCGTCAGTCGTGATGGGCGTCCTATCAACAACCTCCTCATCTGCATCGGCGGCCGTGTTGATCTTCTTGCCGGCGCCGCCGATGGCGTTGGGCGGCGTTGGGCCAATCTTCTGGAACTTTGCGACGTAGAAGCCGTCAATGTTGTGGGCGTGCGGGTAGAAGCGGCGGGTGAGCTTGAGGCTGGGGTGGAACTTCTTGCCCATGTAGCTGGTGAAGCCCTCCTTGCCAAAGGGGATGCCGGCGTCGACGAGCTTCACGTTGGGACGACGAGACAGAGCGTAGGCGACGACGCTCTCGCTAAATTGAAGACATGTTTGTTAGAAACCCTTGTTTTGCTTGAAGCGGGAGAGACAGGGGAGAAGAGAAGAGCAACGTACTTTTCCTCGACAGTGACACTGCATGTTGAGTAGACAAGGAAGCCACCCGTCTCACTGGCATGGTTGACTGAATCAATAGCTGACAGCAACAGCTGCTTCTGCATGTGTGGCAGTGAGATGAAGTCCTTCTCATCCTTGTTAGTCTTGACGCTGGGATCCTTGGAGATGACGCCAGTTCCAGAGCAAGGGGCATCAAGAAGCACTCTGTTACTCTAGTCAGTGTCTTATTTTGCTGCTTAAGGATATGAAGGATGCTCACCTGTCGAAGCCTCCCATGACTCTGGGGAACTCGCGACCGTCGTAGCTGCAGACAATGACGTTTCGAACACCCAGACGAGCAACGTTACCAATCAAACCCTTGGCACGCTCCTTGTTGGGATCGTTGGCAAAGACAATGCCGGTGTTCTGTTGCGATGTTAACAATGAATCTTTACTAAAAGCCTATGTAGGCTCAGGATTTCAATGTCGAATCTTACATTCATCATGGCTGAGCAGTAAGTCGTCTTTCCACCGGGGGCAGAGGCCATCTATTCAAATTGTCAGAAGAAATTCTCAGAGAAAAAAAAAGGTAAAAGATTGGATTTCGCTTCTGTTTCAGCACATACATCGAGAACTCGCTCATTTCTAGTTACACACAAATTGTCAGTCATCATATAGCAGAGCTAAACCGAGACAAATTAAAACTTACGGCTGCGGTGAAAGTGCCATGACGGGCAAGAAAGAGGCAGCTGCCTGAATAATATAGTGACCAGCGAGATACTCGGGCGTAGCACCCAGGGGCACATTCGCCTCGAAAATCTGCAGGCCGACCTTGCTCCACTTGCCGACAGGCTCGAGAGTAACACCACGGTTGATGAGCGCCTGGGCGAGATCTCTTCGATGTGTTCGGAGGGTATTTGTTCGGATGACGACGGGACGGGCCATCTCGTTGGCTTCGAAGAAGGCAAAGGCCTCTCGCGGGGTGAACAGGTTGAAGAGCTTCTCGGCGAGGTAAGGGCTGTAGCCGTAATACTGAAATCACCACACCACATTAGGACACCAATCCAGACAAAGGCAACATGTTTAAGGAATGGGACTTACACCGCAGATATCCTTGAGCAGCTGGGCGGTATACTCTGCTCTCGATCTTCCCTCCTCCGCCAGATTGGCAAAGTCATCCAACACTCGTATCGTGTCCGTTATCCTCTGTCTCAGGAGCTGCAGGTCCGGCGCCAACAAAGATTGGCTCTTCTTCGCCAAATCATCCTCATCCTCGTCATCCTCGTAGCCCTCGCCAAAGATTTTAGGACCGTCAATGTTCGTCTGCATGGCAGACTCTTGCAGTTCCGTCTCGGTTATGGCCTTGTCCTCGGCAAGCTTCTTGTCCAGTTTTCGCGACAGACCCACGATATTAGCCGCAGTGAGTTTTTCCTCGGCGTCAGACTCGTCTTCGTCGTCGGAGAAGACGAATTTGCCCTTCTTTCCGCCATCCTCCTGATCGTCAGAGTCGAAAACCGAGTCGTCTTCTTCCGCGTCATCATCCTCATCTTCATCATCAGACCAGATATTCTTCTTCTTTTCTCCCGAAGAAGCCTCTTCATCTGAAGACTCATCGCCCTCAAGCTGATCTAGGTCAAACTCGTCATCCATCTCTTCGTCGGAATCCTCCTCTGGATCGGGCAGCTTCTTTGCCTTTTTTCCATTGCTCTTCGCGCCCGCCTTCTTAGGCGCAGGCTCCGGCTTCTTCGCCACGGCAGCGCCCTTGGTGGTCTTGCGCTTCTTGTTGCTCAGCGATGCCTTGTCGACCGGCGGCTCGACAGGCAGGCCTGCTTTTCTCTTGAGGTTGGCAAAGTGTTCCTCGGACAGGGCTTCGGGCATGCCCTGCTTTCTCTTCATGCGACGTCCCTGACCCATGATTGCGACCGAAAAAAAAAATGCTGTTTTGAGAATGTCTTTTTCGATCTCAATGGGGGGTGCTGGTTTGGATGCAGGCGCGGGACAGTCTCGATTTTTTTCGCGGCCCTTCACCCTCTGGCGACTTTTTTTTCTTCGGCCGATTATCGATAAGCCACCACTAGTCAGTAGCGCCGGGGAGCTAGATGATGTAATAAACACTGTACCTGAATTTAGAGCCTAAAAATGAGCGACGGCCGATTTTCTCATTTCCATTGCAATAACTCCTTATATGAAGTATATGATTTAGTTGAGGGGTGGTGTATCTTATTTGAAAGGCAAACATGAATGACTTGTTAAATACCAACACTATTCACAATGCGACTATAATACGGATTGTAGTAGTACCGTGGAACTTGGGCGACATAAGGCACTACGAAAACCGCCGAGACGTGCTGCTCAGTATCGTCGATAGCTTCAGTGACACAATCATGTCGACAAATAAAAACTCATGAGCCAATGGTTAAGGGGGTATATATATGATTTGAATTCCACAATATGGTAAATCCGCTAGGTATATATGGGTATCCTCCGACAATGCTTGTAACTCGCTCCCGCAATGACACCTCATGCAGACGTTTCTGTAACACTATGACATGCTATGCCCGCCAATGCCCGCCCAAACAAAACTCCGTGCATGATTCTCTCAACATGCAAATAAAAAAATGACAAGTTTCCTCATCCCCGTAAATTGACTCCCACCCCAGTCTAGGAAATGGTTTCCTCGCCTTTCCATGTATGGCGCGCCCGTCATATCCCCAAAGGGAAAAACGAAAAAAAAAGAAAAAAAAAAGGAAAAGGGAAAAAGGGGAAGCGCTCAAGCTCTCCTAAACACCCGCTTCGTGCCACCGGCCTTTCCAATTTCGCCAAACTTCTTCTCATTTGGCTTTTTATCCGGGCCACTAGCCATGAGTACCTTCTCTTTGATGCTTTCAACCCAAGCCTTGCTCTCTTCACTCATCTCTATCTTCTTAGCCTTGGGCCCTGCTAGACCCAAGAAAGAGCTCTCATCCTCTGCCCAGCTTAAACGGGAGCTAGGCCTCGAAACGGCCGAGCCCTCGGATGGTGGCGTACCTTCTGCCGGTTGACCTGGAGTCACTGGGGTCTTTGGCCGAAGGTTGTTGTTGATACTGCTCCTCCGTGGCTTGCGTGCTGCTGCTAGAGGGCTCACAGAAGAGCGATCACCAGTAGCGGTAGGCGGCCGGCTTGGAGGGCTGGCCTTGGAAGGTTTATTTGAAGCACGAGGAATGTCGCGAACCTCCACCTTTACCGTTTCTTTGCCGTTGGAACGGCGGCCATGATGGCTAGCGTATTCCTTCAAGTACTCGGACAAGTCAGCCCACCCGCCACCAACGCGAACCATTACTCGTTCTCCGTGCTCTCCTACACAGCGGATGAACAGCTTGATGGGGGCCTCGTTATCCGATCTAGAGAGATGATAGACCCTAATCGGATAGTTGCCCTTGGGGCGCGTCCTCTGTTTGACGGGAGATAGAGTAAAAGAGGGCGTGGCAGTTCGCGTGGACATGCCGGATGTGCTCCTCTTAACTGGCTCCTTGGACGGCTTCTTTCTTAAGCGAGGGAGTTGAAGATCTGGTGGGTTTAGGTTGATACCCGAGGTTCCATTCGTGAGCTTGATCTTGGCTGGTATGGATTCAATAATCTGGCTAATTTGCATTCGGAGCTGCTGCTCGCCGGCGCTTTCCCGGCGGGTAGGCGGGCCAGGGATATCGGGAGTGTAGGAATCCTCAAAGTCGTCCAAGAAGGAATCCTCGAATGTTGATTGTAAAAATGACTCATCGTCTTCGGGCGTTTCTATAACCATGGGGCTATCGAGGAGGCGGCGGTTTACTTCTGGAGGAGAGCTTGGCGGGCTGTCGTCTTCCGGATACGGCGCCTCGCGAAGTCTACTCTTGGGGATAGTGGGAGATGCAGACACTTCAATAAACTCGCTCGACGGCAACTCCTCTTCTTCGCTGATGGCCTCCATCATGGCAAGATCCTCGGGAGAGGAACCATCAACATCAGCGATGGACCCTGGCTTGCGAGAGCTCTTGAAAGAGCTTGCCCCGGACCCAGGCGTGAAATGGTCCTCCGACGAGGACAATTCATCCTCTGCAATGGGGTCCAGATACGCTCCGTGATCCGATTCGCCGGTGCCGGGCACCAGCAACAATGGTGGTGAGAGTTTGTTGCCACTGTTGGCCGGGCTCACATCTCTGTTGTTGGCGGATTGATGAGCCCTTGTCGGAGATGGCGAGAGCGAAGAGGTCTTCCTGAGAGGGGTGGGCTTGGGCTTTGACTTTGCCAGCTTGGCCTCGGCCATCTTTCGCTCGCAAGCGGAAACCCATTCTCCGTAACCCTGTTCCACGTCTTCCATACGAGTGAGCCACTCGTCCGGGAGGGTGTCCGGGGCGCCCTCCAAGCAATCTAGCATGTAATCTAGGGTCCGGCCGGGCTCCGCAACCTTGAGCGCAAGGGACTGCCTTTTAGCTTCAAAGTCTTTGGACGTCAGGGTGCGAGCAGGTAAGACGATGGCTTTCCGGCTTGGGCGCTCCATCTCCCAGTGAGACTGAGAAATGGCCTCCCAATTCTCCCCAAGAAGCGCCTCCACATCTTGGATGGCTTGCAGAAAGGGGTTGACGTGCCGGAGGACGATGATGCGCATATGCCACAGCTGCAGCAGCCGAGACAGCCTTGCCAAGTTGGGAAGGGTCTGCACGACAATGGCGGTGATGAGGACGGAAATGTCCTCCATTTTGTGATAGCTCGACAAGGCCGATAGCATCGACCGACTGGGGTCCATGTTGATTGGGGTACCCGGCCTTGACAGCGGTAGGATGTGGTCGTTCATGACGTGGCCTTTGATCTCCTCGAGATCCAGGTCATCCATGTCTCTGTTGATTTGGTTGATTCTTGTTTCGTATTTTTCCACCTCTTCAGCGGGGAGGCTCCCCATGTACTGCTTCCTTCCGGCCTCTTCAGGGGTCGGGGCCTGAGCGAAAAGCTTCCTTTGCGTATTGCTCGGCTCCAGGAAGCCCCCGGACCCCGCTTGTCTTGGCCAATTCCACTGGTTCAGCTCGTTGAGCCATTGCCAGATCTTGTGGGATGCCACGGCCGTTCGCATCGCGAAGTCGCGCTCGAGCGCAGACGCTTCTGCGAGGCACCCCCTGAGAACGCCATCGGGCGGCGCTAATGCTTCGACAACTTTTGCGGGCTCCAGGTGAGCAAAAAAGTCATCAGCAGGACGCTGCCGAGCAGCCAGCAGCTGGCCCGGCGTGGGCGTCGAAAGCCGCTTCTGCTTGACGAGGACGGGTGTTTCGTTCATGGTTGCTTGTTCGCGGTCGTCGCGGGTTGGTGTTGTAGTCGTTAGCGCGTTGCAACTAGATGTAACAGTGATGCCACCGAGGCATCATCTGCCTTTGCTGGTGAAAAAAGTGTTGTTTGATTTCCGTCTCCTACAGGCTGAACCTATGTCATGGACCGGGAGGGATTAGGACAGCGATAATTCGATTTTCGTTGGTGATGCCCATAGTCGGAGAACGGCGGTGATGGGGTGTTTTGTTTTTTGCGGCTATGAAATGACAGCCATGCGACCAAAGCTATAAGCCGTCAAGGGAACAAATTTCTGCAGGCAAGCACACGGAGGCAGTTGGCCTCTCTGACTTGCCTGGGCCTTTGCTTGCGACTTTGTAATGAAAAGAGAGATACAAAGTCAAGCGCGACGATGAAAGAGAGAGGGAGAAGGATAAAAAAGAGCCGGAGTCAAATCAAGCTGAAGGTGCACTGGACGAGATCCACGCTGGGGAATCAATCAATCCAATGGCCGCTTCCGCCCTTCCCCTGGTGTAGCTCGGCGCGGAGCGTCGCAGAAGGAAAAGGAATGACGGGGCGTCAGACAGGAGACCAGCGCACACCAACTAGCTGCAGGAGGTGCAAATGCGAGCAGGACAGTATAGGTATAGACGCTGTCGCAGGTGTTTCGGCTCGGCGGTTGGGCACAAGCTGGATGGTGCCACCTCAGTGCTGCTGCGCTGGCAAGGCCTCCGGATAAGCGGGCAGCGAATAAGCAGAGCAGCTGGCGAAGAGCGTGGAGTCTGCAATGCGTCTTGCGTTTATGCGTGGGATCCGGACCAGGCTGGCCGTATGTATGTAGGCAATGTGGCGCGCGTTGGGTATCCGCCGTAGGGGGTCGTTTGTTGGGGGGCTCGTTCAATCGACGATTATGCAAGACAGACGTGGTGTTAACTCCCACATGAAGAAAACGTGGCGATCGATAGCGACAGTCGCGAAGCAGAAAAGGCACACAGCAAGGTGGTATTGGGCGACAGCGATGGACTAGGTGTCAACGCGCGCGCGAAAAAAAAAATGAATGGACGAGTGAGAGTGAGGCAGAAAGGACTGTGAGCCAAGGGGGCTGATTTTTTTTTCAAAAAAGAACGACTGGCTTCGTCCGCAGCAACGAGGGACAAGAAATGGCAAAAATCACAGCGGAAACAGGGGCAAAACAAAGCGAGCGGCGGAGAGACAGATCGCGACGGTATTGCAGGTCAAAAGTCAGTGGTAGTAGTTGGTAGAGGGAAAAGAGCAAGACACAACATAGGGAAAGAGAAGAGAGAGAGAAACGAGCGTGCACCAGAGACGCCGAGCTTCACACAACGCGCCGCGACGGCGCCAACAGAGACCCCGAGCAGAGCAACGATGAATGATATTAGCCAGCAATCAAACTCGCCCTCTGTGGCCTCGTATGAATTACAAGTAACAGGTACCACAGCTATGGAAGTCCCCGGGGAGACGAAGACGCCCTGACGCCATCTGAAGGTTGCTGCGCCGGGTGCTGCTCAGGCCCCGTCAGTGCGCTGTGGGCGCTGTGGATGCCGCCTGTAGGTGCTTGTGCCAGGTACAATGGCCAAATGGCAGGGCGGGCCCTCGCTAGGCGTCTTAGCGCCCTGTCCCATGGCAGCTCTCATTTGCCGCCTGGTGCGAGGCTCCTCCTTTGAACCAAAGCCAATCTTACTCTCACGGCCAGGCTAAAGGCTAGCGCCAGGTACCCAGCAGGCGCATTACCCATCACGGAAATACCTTACAGATCCTGGATGGTTAGTACGTACTCGTATTGCGGGTTTCAAGTCGCGGTCGGCACGCGTCCGTCGTGGAGCTGCTTAGTACTATAGTAGTAGTAGGTAGTAAAAGGAAAGTAAATATTTACTTTGGCGCCTTGTGCAAAAACAATTGAGTGTATGTGTGTGTGTGATAGGTACCTTAGTACCTGACAGTACGAGTACTCCGTACACACAACATGATCAAATGGGCAAGGCTTGGAAAAAAAAAAAAAAAAAAAGGACGGCACAGACGGAGGGCGAGTCGAAAATCCACCTCAGCTCGCCTCCAATCCCCAAGGGCAGCAACGCACAGGTACATGAAATTCTCTCCCTCTCTCTGTGTTTCTCTCTCTTCAATCACTTTACTCATGTCACACACGCGTCTCCACACCTCCCGCCCATCCGGTTATCCCTTCCCAAGTCCCAGCCCAACCGAGACATATTTTCGGATCAAGTTTTTTTTTCTTTTTCCTGATTTCTGGTTCGTCATTCCCGCATACGAGTTGCTCCCTCACACACGCACTCGTTCTCTTTGTCTCCCTTGCGCCCTGTCCCCCAGACAGACGCAAGAAATGACGCTGCGATAAGACAGACGAAAAAGACGAGGGCAAGGGGTCCCTTCATGCCAGATTTCCGCTTCCACTTCCGCGGTCCCGTGGTCTGGGTACTGTAGAGGCCCTTCTCCGTTACCGGGGGGGCAGCCAACAAAAACTCACCGAAAGAGTGGCCATGCCATGATGAGATGAAAAATAGATGGGGCCCAGGGCTCGTTCCCTCTTGTCTCTCTCCCTTGCCCATTTTGCTCCGTGCATCATGCAGTATTACTCATGCCGTGACCTTTCCTAGGTAATTCTCGTACTCGTACTACTGTACTACTGGCATCCGCCCATTCACGTAAACTGTAGTTATCTCATCTGCTGGATGGCAAAGAATGAAGAAGAAGAACCCAAGCAACCTGCAAGCGATACATCAATTCACACGTGCAAGCCCACGATACGACTGAATCTATTTCCCGCCCTCCACTGCCACTGCTACTGCTACACACACACACACAACGTCCCGCCAATGCCACATGTCCTGTCCCGGAACCATTTGGTGCTGCTCCGTACGAGTACAGATGCTAACAAAAAAATAAATGTCTCGCATCGATTGGGTCTGAGCATGGACACGCGACGCCACGCCATGCACGACAGCCTGTCCACCATGACCGCAGCCCTACCCTGACCCAAGACGTCCTTTCTCGGCGATCCGCCCGCAATTCCCAAAATTGAATGCGTCCGAACCTATTGTGCTTGTGCAGGCGCCGAGGCATGTCCAGGTGGTACTGCATGAGAGGGCATCTTTGCCTGTCAGGCCTTGCCAACCTGCCAAGGGCTGTCTGTACAGGTGCTGGGATGCTTGAGTTACTGTGCCCAACGCGTCATAACTGCCAAGGCGGCGACTCGTCATCCATGGATTGTATTACTATCTACATTAGTAGGTAGCAAGTAGGTAGTAAACTCATCCAAGCAAGCACGGGAAGCACAGTGTACGATAGGCATCCGTATCATTGATGCTGCTAAATCTAGGTACGCAGTATAAAAATAATCCCATCCATCCATTCATAAATCCCTTTTCTCAAACCCTCCTCGGCTCTCAGCGTATGTATGTAGCGACCAGGACAACAAACGACCGTGCATGACCCGCCGGCCGGGGTTCGCATCTGACAGTCTTGAAACACTCTCCTTCATCATTACCATTATCATCATCGTAAACGACAACAACAGATAGAGATAACCAATCATGCCCACATTCAGGCCACAAGGGCGGCCGACAAGGAAAACGAAAACGAAATGCGCAAGAAAACGACACTCAATGTACCAGCCAGCAGGTGCCCTTCAAATATAATCAGGACTTCTCCTTTTTTTTTTGAAGCAGTAATATCCCACAACATATCCAAAACGCCATCCATTGACGCCTCTCCCTAATCTATTATTTTTTTTTAAAAACTTTCCCAATATCCGCAAGGCAAAAAACAAAACGCCTCGAGCCAAATTCTCTTATTTGTCTGTTTCAGTTCAAGTAGAGGTTTCGGGGTGTATCGGGATCGTGCCATCAACACTTGTGTTGAAGACCCAGCCAAAAGTATTATCCTCAATGCCGGGAGCGCCGGTGAAGGCAGTGGCCATCAGCGTCTCGTCGGTGCCAGCAACTCCTTCAGGAGGGAATTGCAGCCACTGGTCTACGTCAAAATCGGTACCGGCGACCGCGTTCCAGTCAAACTCGTCATGGCCTTGCATGAAATCGACACCAATAAGGTTATCTACTTCCATATGGACCTCATCCGATCCGCCGCTCACACTCGGAGTAAGATTCGACGGGTCAAAATCGGTTTGCGGTGGAGAGTTGACCGTCGATGATCCGTGAGTCATAGTATTGATTGCCCCCGGAGGGCCCATCGGCTTCTGCACCTCCTTGGGCTTCTGGTTGAAGAGTGACTCGGAAGCGGTCATGTATGGGGCATTTTCAGGTGGCGGCGTGTGCGTGCCGAATTCAGGGGGAACCTCCTTCATCATTGCCAACGTCGATGGTTCAACCGTAGCATTGATATCAATGGCCGCTTTCCTGAGAGCGGCATCCAGGAACCCGGTGGCATAGTCGGCGGCAGCATATATCTCGCGTAGTTTCTCCATGACTCGCATGCACTGGCGGAAACCTCTTGTCGCGCGCGACCGAGCATCTGGCATTGGGTTCTTCATCTCCAAGAGGTGGATGATCATGGCAGGTAGGATCACAGTCACACCAGTGGTAGGCAAGTACCTCTCCAGGCGGAGGTGGTGCAGCTCGGTGGCCATGTCCGTAATGTGCATCGCCGCATCCTTCACCTTATGGCGCGACATTTCTTGCACCTGGCGAGAGGCGGTCGGTGCTTGCATTGGAGACGACGGTAGAAACTGGGGACGGTGCAGAGCAGAGATGGTCGTATGGTATACCATGTGGAGGAGCATTCGCTGAACGACAATGGTAGACCTGCCGTTCTTGGTGTCTGCAGGGACCAACATGCGGTACTGACAACATGCAGGAAGTGATGCCGCCCATTCCTGGAGCTCTGCGTCAACGACCTTGATGTTGTCTAAATTATCCAGCTTCTTATTGGGGAACAGCATCATGGTGCTGTTGGTCGTGTTCTCGGGCTTCATGTTGTCTCGGATGAGAACCGAGTACTGGGCCTTTAACATGTGGCTGA